CTCCTCATTTATCGTTTATCCTTCTCTGTGACGTTATGCGCTGCGGAGTGCATAGTGGGTCACAGAAGGTCATGTTCCTTGCCTCCCACTGCCACGATTCCTCCCCACTATTCCCAGCTTCCCCTTCTCTAAGGCCGCCTGACCTGGCGGAGTGGGGGTCTCTCCTCTACTCGCATTTCACATGAAATGGCTTCAATGACACCCCCCGAACTGTGGGAATTAAGGAGAGTCTACTTGTACAGTGGAACTTCCATAACTGCAGGCCTCCGGTGGTTTAGACTCTCGGAATTTGCACTTACGAAAGGAAAGATCGAGAGCGCGAGTCAGAAAGCCATGCAGGTAGAGGCAGTGGTGGGGGTAAGAGCTACTAGGCGGCCGATTACGCACAGTCCTCGCGCATTGGAGAGAGTGAGCGAAAGAGGTTAAAGAAAGAACGGTCATAGAGGGGAATTGTAATGGTGGGGGAATAGTTCCCCTCGTTCGGTGGGACAGTGCGCACTTACGAAGGTGAGCAGTTATGGAAGTTCCATTGTATAGTGAGGCGGTAAAGGAAGATGAACACATTCAATATGGTTGAAAATAGGCATTGTAATTTTTTAAAGATTTTCATTGACTCTTGCCTCATTGGAGAAAGAGAAGATCAGAAAAGGGCGACGCGATGCTTTGAGCCAGTTCAGAATTTTGTCATCAATTTATATCGAGATAGAAATTTCCACCTGACGATGAAATTTTGTTTCCCACTTCGCGGAGGAGAAATCTGGCTTTGTGCCTGTGCTGACGGAAAATAGCGTCCTGACCACGGGAGGTGAAATGAAGGACCCTTACCCACGTGATAATTCTGCACGTGGACACGTCTCCTTTATTTTCCCTCCCTAGGTAGGGAATATACTATTGAATCTGGGTCAAATCATCTGGGGAAAATGTTGCTATTACCGATTCGTTGAAATCGTCAGATATGCCAGATCCATAATTTAACCCTAAATCGGTAACGTTCAGGTGGAATTCCATAGCCATCTGGCTAGCGTGACGATTCACTTGAGTTATGAATGAAGACACATTATGGATAACTTCTCGGACTTCAGAACTCTTGAGTAGATGATCGATATAAGTATTGTTCTTCCATTTTAAAGAAACAGCTCCCTGAAACTGACATTACAGGAATTATAATCCGAAACTGGCGCCGGCTTCACCGTTTGAAAGAAAGTTATGGAAGATTACAAAGAAAATGGTTGCACTTACTGATGGTAGAAGACCGCAGAGAACAATGAATATCTTCATTTCGATTATTTTTTTCATCTACTCCACTGTGCAGATGACACATTAATGTCATACGTAGCCTCAACCCGAAGAATTTATATGAAATGCACACCACACATAGAAGTTTCGGGAAGTTGACGGAATATATTCCGTGGAATGCCTCATTTCCTAGTGACATATAAAGTATAACATTGAAAAAACCATTTGAGGCGCATTAGATTCTATACTTCGAAACTTCAGAACTTCCCTCATATCATTTTTATGTTTTCTGAGATATAGTTATCGCACAAAACAATGTATCTACGTGCAAAAATCGGGTTTTCATTTTCATCCTCTTTTATTATTCAATTCAATACAGAATTCATGCAATATGCTTATAATTTCGATATATCAAAATGACTCATGTCATGTTCCATGCCGCTTGATGATGCTTCACGAATTGGTGTTCTGTTGTTCGTCCGGGCAGTGAATCTGCAATAGTAAAAATATTTCTATTATAATCCCGAGTTAAAAAGTCTGTTTTCTAGACTTTTCTATATTTACAAGAGACTTACCGACAACCATGTATCTATCCCAGCTTCCTTGTAGAAAGATGGAATGAATCTGTCATGGATTGACTGATACAAGTCTGTCAGGGTGCTATTGTGTCTCTCAATCAGACTTGTAGCTTCGTCGTAAATTCCCTCAATCGCTCCCTCCTCAGCTTCCTTGACTCTCTCTACGACCTGTGGAATTGAAAATTTCTTGAAAGTGATTGCTCTATGATTGGAGAAACTTCAGAATTGTGATCAAATGGTGAAAAAAGCTGTCTAAGATACAATCGCTCATAATTTGACAACAGTCAATCAGACGCGGTCAACAAGACTTCATCAGAAAATCATTTTTCATATTGAACTTCATGAATAGAATAATAATCATCATCGTTGCAACTACGTACTTTGTTTATACAATTGTAGGGAGCTGTCAAGTCATCTCCCAGGAGAAGTCTTCCACAATTATGAAGCGCCTTTTCCAAAATCGCAAATATTTGTCTAATGTCAACAAACTTGCTTTGAAGATCGTGGAATCCTATCCTCCAATTGTCCACAGCTTTCAGTATATATTCCGGCACTTGATTCTGATGTTCCTTATTATCCTCGAGAAGATCCGTAACATATTGTTGACAATCTTCGCTCAATTTTTCCGGTTTGCAGCGAATTTAGCTTTTTTAGGCCCGTACTGAAAGGATAATTCAAGGGTCCGTTGTAGACAACATCATCATAGATGGACTAAATAGTGATGTTGCTATTACCTTTTGTTGGAAACGTTCAGACAGTTCGGATCCATAAGTTGACCGAAGGTCTGTGATATTCGCATGGAAAGCCTCAAACAGGCGTTGAACCTGATGGTCCGTGCCAAACATAAATGTAGACAAATTCTGGATAATCTCTTGGATGTGCGAACTTTTATTTCTGTAGTGGTAAAGATCTTTCTCCGATGGTAAGGAAACAGCTTCCTGAAGCTGATATTATAGAAATCACAGTGTTGTCACGTTAGGTTCAATGTTGAAAAGAAAAAAATTTACGATTGTAAAGAGATAGACAGAAATTTAGGATTATGATTAGATTTACCAATGGCAGAAGAGCGCAGAGAACGAGGAATATCTTCATTTTGAATAATTGATTTCGATCTACTACCAGCTATGGCCGAGGGGTTAATGCCATATGTGGCCGCAGCACATGAATTTATACGTAAGTTTGGTGGGCAGGGATACTATTTCGATCAGACATGTTTCACGTGAACAACTCGCCAGAATTTGGCGGAATATTCCGTCGATTAATTCATTCTCTATTATGATGACCTTGAAAACCCCCATTACAAGCGCATTCAACTCTATACTTCGAAGCTCTTGTAATTTTCCACATTTCCTAAGATACGTCTATCATGCGAAAAGTCCGTACACGTGGAAATAACAGCTAGCTATGATTTATGAATAAATGAAGACATTGAACATTGAACGGTCATTTCGTGACGAACTTTTGAGATTAAAAGGTGAATCACCCATACTCAGGAAAAGATGGAAAAGCCAGAGGGAGGCATCAAACAGTCAGTAAAGGTAAGTATCTAATGAATTCAGATATTTCTGGAATGACTTCCAATTTTATTTTATGACATTATTACACAAGATTTTTCAATTTGACGATCATAATCTCCATATCCGTCGGAAAATATAAGGGTCTCTTCTCTCGTTTTCTCAACCGACTTTTCTCGTCTCGTCTCGTTTTTCTCGGCTCTCACGGCATCACTATATATTATAGGCGAATTGTTTTCCCTCCCCTATAATTTGAGAAAATGGAAAACATGAATACAGATAGGAAAACGATAGGTTCAGTAACACCCGTAATAAATTGTACTTTTTATTTGTCGTATTACCGTATACAATTTTTCTTTGTAATCACGGGGGAGTGGTCAGCAGTCTTCTGTCCTACGGGGCAAAATACCTGAAAAAGTCAAGTTTCCGTCAAAATCCATGATCCTTTCACGTTCGTGAGAAACGTACCTTCAACCAGCTATCTATTCCATTTTCGTCGTAGAACGATGAAATGAATCTGTCGTCAACGGAGTTATGCAGCTTTTTCAATGCTCTCTCTTTAACTCCAACCAAACTCTTAGCCTCATTATTAACTGCCTCAGTCAGATCAGCTTGGAGTATCTTGAGTATGTCTAGATTCTAAAAAGGCAATTTTTCCCCATAAAAACCCGTTCATTTGGATAATTAAGATGATTTTGGGAATATCTTCACGAAGATTTATATAATTTTTCAAAAGAGTATTCCACAGTCTACGCTGCAATTACATACTAGAATGGCGCAGTTGTAGGCAGCTGTCTGGTCAGCTGCAGTCAAGAGAGTACTGCAATTATAAGTGTTCTTTTGGACCTTCGTGAGGACGGTTGTGGCGATATCAAACTCCTGAGTAAGATACATAAATCCCTTTCTACATGATTCTACCGCTGTCGCTACATACTCTGACAGCTCTTTCTGGTGCTTCTCACTGTCTTTGAGAAGATCCGAAATATATTTTGGACAGTCCTTATGGGATTTTGGATTCTCGGCAAATTCAGCGGCTTTAGGCCCATACTGAAATCATCATTGTCGGATTTATTGCAGGAAGTGGCTGATCAGAAGGCTCTGGTAATTATCAATTATTAATGAATGAGTAATACGCATAGGGATTTATAGGAATTCTTTCAGAGTGAAATTTTTTTTCGTCCGGGTCCCTATTCGGGTCCCACTCGGCACTTCTATCCAACCCTACGCATGCGGCTATGGATTCTACACTGTCCCACACTGACAAAAACGAAGGTTCTTCCGAAATACGTCTTTACTTATATTAAGAAACTTCTGATTTGAAAATTTTCAAGAATAAAATATCTTGCACTAAGAAAATGAAAACTTTCGTCGAGTAATTTTGTACTTGTTCTAAAGACGAGGACAATTTCTTGATGACAAGAAAGCAATTTCTCAAACCAAGTAAAATTGAATTGGAAAGCCGCGGCGGTACAGACGGTTACTCTATTAGCAACCTCTCGCCCCCCACAGCCTCAGATTGAAAAAATCGGTTCCACTTGGGATCGAACTCGCAACCTTCCGCACCAAAATTCAGACGAATGATCATAGGACTGTTGCGAACTCAAAAAACTAAGGAGAATCAATGGAACATTCCTGAATCTATGCGACGTTTTGGAGAATATGGTTCAGAAAACTTTAAAGGGTCACGAGTGCCTTTTATGATGTACCATTACCGTAGTGTCTTATTCACGTTGGAAATTACTTCGCAACTCTTCACTACCTTAAATAATATGATGTTGATTACCTTTCGCTGAAAATGTTGATGCGTCTCATTCCCATAACGCGTAAGAAAGCTGCTGATGTTACGATTGAAATCCTCAGTCATGTTCTGAACTTGTTGATTAACATCAAGAATATACGTAGACACATTCGCGATAAGTTGGTTGATTGCAGTAGTTATGTCAACGTAGTAGTGAAGATTTTCTGGAGATACAGCAGCAGCAGCTATCTGGAACTAAAGTAGCAAAAATCTCATTGTAAGTACGTTTTTTCCTCATTCAATTAATTGTTACAATCACTGTTGGAAAGCCGTTGAACTTACGAGCGATAGAAAAGCACAGAGATAGGCGAATATCTTCATTATGATTAATCAGTTGTGCTCTGTCTACGGATAAATGATACGGTAATAGCATATGTCGCCTCAACACCTGAATTTATACGCAAGATCGGCCGTAACTGATTCTGTTTCAATGACCATTGAACCATACGGGAATAACAAAGGGATGATGAAACTTTTTGATTAATACGTAATTTATTACTTCTATTTGATGAACAGTCTTGATGTTGATTGGATTAATATTTACTTCCGTTTCGATTGTTATCTGTTCATTCAAGTAGAAATTAGATGTTTTAATATTTTATGGAGGATGACGGACAGCGATGGGAAGGTGAAGCCGAGGGCTGGAATCTAACTGAAGCTTAAATACCATTAACCTGTCATTAAGATCTTCCAGACGTTAATGACACGTTAATGATGTTCTACTCGCATTAACATGGTACCGCCCTCGGGATACGATGAAGTTCATGAACCGACGGAGATAATGAATCTCGTTAAATGGGGTCATCAGATAAAGTTGGAAGTCATTTCAGAAATATCTGAGTTCATACAATACACGGAGAAAAAAATTTCAGAAAAATTACTGTGACAGCACGGTAAAATGGGTTCATTGAACTGGGGGCTTATTCTCGAAATATTTCCGTGCGCGGAATCGACTCCGTTGACGGAACGCCTGTATGATTCCTATACACAATTCGTCTACGAAGCCACTTCCGTGCACGGAAATATTTCGAGAATAGCCCCCCTGACCCGGAAAAATTCCTGTGCCAGCACCGGAATTTCTGCAGTGCGCTTGCGAAATCGTAAATTACGACGATTATAAATCATAATTTACGACGATTATAAACGTAAATTACGTTTTTATAAACGTAATTTACGATTTCGCAATCGTAAATTACGCTCAAAATCGTCGTAAATTACACTGAGAGAAAAAATTACCTCTGCCGAAAATATATTTATTCCGCTCAAAAATATCGAGATAACTTCGTCTAATAATATAAGATAGGTAGAGTTAACGTATAGTTTGATGTAAATAGATAAATAATTTGTCGCCTCAAAATCTTTTTTTTTCACGTACACGAGTCAAGCGGAAAAGAAGTACACTATTCCGCTGATTACAAAAAAGCTTCGTAAAAGGTTTTGAAATTTTCTGTGGATCAGAGGTTTGATCTTCTCAAACTTATCCGTTTGTGACCTCAGAACTGGACTTTGATTTCTCACTCAATAACTATCAATGGCGGGGAAACAAATGAGTAATATTGGAAATAATAGAGAAAGTCGCAGTAGAGATTATACAGTCGTATTTTTGCTGAAAGAATGGTTCTTCTGTCAGCTCAAACTTCTGCTTTGGGGAAAATTTTTTGGTTTGCAGTCATACAGATTATTATTTATCATGATATTTGAATCCTGGCATTCTACTCGAAAGAATATGTATTCATATGCCACTGTCAGATTTTCAAGTGGAAAGAATAAATTTTTCGCTGCAGAATATTTTCTCGTAGGGAATAATAATCTTGAGACAAGAAAATTTTGTACAGGTGAACATTTATCTTTTCGGCAGAGCTAATTTTTTCTCTCAGTGTACGATGATTTTTTCGTATTTTTGATAAACGTAAAATACGCTTTGTTTAGGCGTAATTAACGTTTTTATTTTGACCGTTGAATACGCTTTTTTAAAGCCTAAATTACTGCTTGATTTCCCCTCTGGCCTTTCCATCTTTTCCTGATTATGGACGATCCACCTCGTAATACCAAAAGTTCCTCACGAAATGACCGTTCAATGTTCAATTTCCTCATTTATTCATAAATCATAGCAAACTGTTATTCGCACGTGTATGAATTTTCCGCATGAGTGCCATATCTTAGGGGATGTGGAGAATTACGAGAGTTGGAAAATATCGAGTTGAATGCGCTTCTTATCAGTTCTCAAGGTCATCGTTTTGTTCACGTGTAGCATATCTAATCGAAATAGAATACGAGCCCACTAAACTTATGTATAAATTCAGGTACTGCGGCCACATATGACATTGACACGTCATCATCGTTGGTAGTAAATCACAGTCAATTCATCAAAATGAAGATATTACTTGTCCTCTGCGCTCTTCTGCCTTTCGTAAGCCTAACCGTAGGGGAGGGTGTGCCTGTACCGCTCACCTAAGAGGAAATGCCAGTTTTATATTTTATATTTCAACTTGAGTATAAAAAACGTATTTGTGAGACTTCTTTAACTATTGATCTCGTTATTCTCGAAGTGTAGACGCCTAATTCTCCTTTGAATCCACAAAATTGATTGAAAATAAAAGAGAGAGCCTATTGAGCGGTACTACCCGCCATCGGGTAATACCGCTCGGCACGATTCCAAAGCCGCTCATAGGGTTTTGCGTGTATCGCTCGCGCCGCAACCTAACCTGTACTCGAGTCCTGTCGAGCAACTATGTGGCCGATCCTATGAGCGGTATTACCGGCTCCGCTCGGCGTCAATAAAATTGTTGATAATTATTGACATGAGTGGAGTTTTGAGTTCGAATTGGTCTCAAATTACGCGTGAAAGTACCACGAATCGAATAACCACAGTTTAATATGAGAATTCAGCGTTTGAAACTATCAAAAATCTTAGTTACAAGTCCACAAATTTTGCACTGTAAAGACCTCAAAACTTCGTTAGGTGTTTTTTCATATTTAAAGTGGTAAATAAAGTGAAATTTTTCCGACAATCACATCCTATCATCAAATTCTTCATGATCAGGAACAGAAAGAAATTTTCAAGTTGATGGTTGTGGAGAAAATCGAGTGAGCGGTACACCCTCCCCTAATCCCAGATTCTTGTCTGCTCCTTCACAATTTTACATTTTTTTCTTCTTAACATCGAAACTAACATTACAATATTATGTTTTCTATAGTATAATTTCCAGGAAGCTGATTCCGTCCTGTCGGAGAAAGATCCTTATCACTACAAAATAAGAAGTTTGCAGCTCCGAGAAGTTATCCAAACTTTAACCAAATTTATGTCTGGCGTGGAAAATCACGTTCTAGATCTATTTGAGGCATTCCATGCGAATATCACAGTTCTTTGGGCAAATTATGGACCCGACCGGTCTCAACATTTCCAAGAAAAGGTAATAAGGACATCACTTTTAGTCCATCTACACTGAGAGAAAAACGACAAAGTTCTCAAACAAGTCTTGCTTGTGCCAAGAAAATGGTTTTTTTTTAAATTATCAAAAAAGGATTTTTTTGTGCTAAACATGCAGAGAATGCGCCAGAATGAAAAATTTTTATCGCAAAAATAGATTTAGTAGTTTTAAAAAAATTCCATTCTCTGTACGGGCAAGAAATGTCATTTCCAGCACTACTCCTTCGTGATTCGATACTCCCACACGTATTTTGCTCCCGAAAAATCTTTGTTTTATGCGAAACAAGGGATAGTAGTTTTTCGTTTCGGCTGTCTAATAATCACAGACAACAAATGAACCCTTAACTGAGACAATAATAATGATATGATAGCAATCTTGTACCTTAGGGATAAAATATTTGTTGATAAATTTTCCTCTATATGAGATATTTTCATCCTGAAAAGGCACCGTCTGCTGTGAATTATCCGCCTCTGAAGCCAAATATTTCATTGCTGTCGAAAGCAGAACAATTATTCATGTTTGAGACTTTCAAATTCGAAGCGAACAAATTCGTTTTTGGCAATTTTCAACTAGTGATTTTGTCGGCTCAAAAAAGACTTGTTTGACCACGTGTTTATTTTTCTCTCAAGGTATGATGATGTTTTCTCCAATAGACCCTTGAATTATGGTTTCAGTACGGGCCTAAAGGGGCGGAATTCGCCGCAAATCCAAAATTAAGCAAAGATTGTCCACGATATATTGCGGATCTTCTCGACGAAAATAAGAAACATCAGGATGAAATGTCGGAATATTTTTCGAAGGCCGTCGATACTTGGAACATAGAATTCAATAGTCTTTATGCCACGTTTGTTAATAATACAGAAATGATGGCGCTTTTGAAGATGGAAATTTATCATTGTGGTATTCTTCTCGTGCAGGAGGACTTGACGCTTCCCTTCAATTGTGTAAACGAAGTATGTAGTTGTAACGATAATGATGATTATTCAGTTTATTGTCAGTTTCATAAGATGTCTTTGTCGTTCATGAAATTTAATATGAATAATGGTTTTCTGATGATGAAGTCTTGCTGACCACGTCTCCTTGACTGTTGCCAAATCATGAGGGAATGCATCTTAGGCAGCTTCTTTCATCATTTGATCACAATTTTATAGGTTCTAGAGAGAGTTACGAAAGCAGAGGAGCACGCGGTTGAAGAAATCGTCACCAAAGCTGCAAATCTGCTTGAGAGAAACAATAATACCCTGACGAGCTTGCACCACTCAATCCAAGACAGATTCATTCCATATTTCTACAACGAAACTGGGATAGATATGTGGTTGTCGGTGAGTCTCTTGTGAATGTAGAAAAGTCATAAAAGCTGACTTTTTCACTGGGGATTACGAGAGAAATATTTTTGCTATTGCAGATATACTGCCCGGACGAACAACAGAAGGCCAGTTCGTGAAGCATCAGCAAGCGGCATGGAGCATGATGTGATATAGTCATACCCTCATGGAAAAATATATATGTGGAAAACATATGGGTCCTATATAATCCATGCATGTCGTACATGAGGGGATATGTGCCAAAATTTAGGGCATATGCCAGTACATGTGAAAATAAAGTACTGGGCCCTGGTTGTGTATGAATTATAGATGAATAATTATATACGATTTCATATAAGACAAGTACATTTTCCCATCCATTTCACTGTTTATAGGGACAGGGAAATATGTGATTGGCTCCGGATCTCGGATAGGGGAGTTCCCCCCACTCTGTTCTATCGTTGAGCAGTGTGAGCCACTGATCTCTATACTAACTGGATGGCTGGTCCCCTGACGCGCGGTTGAGGTAAATTGAAGGGTCACTCAGCGCCCCTATTACCGGACAGGGTACTAAGTTTAGCGTTAGTGCGCATGTTCATTTTCATATTTACATAGTTTATGTAACGGTCACGTGACAATGATCATTACATTTGACGTAAAAAAAATTCGAAAGAAATGGACAGCATTCGGTATGATAAATTTTTTAATGTACATCGCTTTATTCATTTTCTTACATAATATGCTATGAAAGAATCATTATTATTCATTAGCAATTTGAGTTCGGTTGTGACTATCACAGCGATTTGATGTCATATTTTCCTATGTTGGCTGCGATGGGCATCTTCCAGAAGTCCTCAGATAACAATTTATGACGGACAATAATCCTGAAATAAAAAAGTTATTGTTTAACGACAAATTTATGCATTGTCTAATCTCATGCGACACTTACCGCCAGCCAACCATCTATTCCGACTGTGTTATAGAATTCTGGAATGAACCTGTCTTTGATCGACTGATGCAAATTATTCAGAGCTGCATCGTGAATTTGATCCATCTCTGTTGTTCGATTATAAATTGATCCAATCGTCTCATCATCGAGTTTTTTAACATTCGTTAAAACCTAAAAGATTTGTTATTTCTTCAGAAAGAGACAGTGACACACAGTCTTATGAAAAAATGACCTTTTCGACGTCAGAAGATTAAAATCTAGAAAAAATCTCGAAAAATCAGGAAAAATCAATAAAAATTCTGTGCCCGGTATGAAAATTATCGTCAGTATCATACTTTTGCAGTAAATAATTTACGTTTCTACGTGCCCGAAATGGCTAGTTATACCGAACACCCTAGTCAAACTATTGTTGAAAAAAATGGAGACTATTGCTGAAAAAAATGCTTGAAAAAATAATTTGATAGATCAATTTCTTACACTCATCAAAGTTGGAATTGATAGGAAAAATTCTCAACGATTAATGATTACTTTAAGGCTTTTGGACTTTATTTTTCCGCGTTACACTCAACGACTCAACTGGAGTTACATCCTACTTTAACCCTCGATCGGTCGCGTCACGGCACGAGCGCTGTTCTGTCTCGATTTTTATTTTTTACGCTGAAACGTTGTTGAGAAAAAATTTGAAAAAATTGGAATTCCTACTTTCCACCATGTCAAACATTTAAACAATTGTTGTTCAGTGCATCTTTGCACCGATCAAAAATTAAAATTCCTTAAAAATTCGACTCGGTCGAAATCTCTGTGTTTACCCTTTAAATGTCAAATTTTCGCACCGAATGGAACTTCATTTTTGAATAATCTTTTCACTTTTCTCGTTTTATACTGTTATTAATTGTTAGTTGGAAGTTCAAAGTTACTCGTTCAATAATAAATACATAATTTTTTTGAACTTTTTTTTTCTCAAAATGGTAAAATACACGGAACGGCGCAGCGCTCATCATGCGACCAGAGACGTTTGGTGGAGAGGTGCGACCACTCGAGGGTCAAAGAATGATGTCCTTGAATGAAAAACTGTAAATTATCATCAACTATTGACGAAATACATACCTTGAGCGCACAATTGTAAGCAAGCGTCTCATCATCCTGATCTAGGAGAGCACCGCAATCAGCAGCCTCCACCTCGCCGTTAGCAAGCGCGAGTCTTGTGTTAGCTATCGCCTTATGAAACTGGTAGATTCCGTCTTTCCAAGATTGCACAGCCGTAGCTGCGTAACTCGCCAGCTGGCCCTTATGTACTTCATTCTCTCTGAGGAGATCCGCGATGTATTTAGAACAGTCTTTATTCAAATCTGTATTTTTTGCGAACTCCGCGGCTTTCGCTTTATACTGAAATGATAATTGAAGCCGTGAGTAGGTGGCGACAATAAACAGTGAACTTATCAGGATCCAGAAACAAGAAATGAACCCTTAACTGAAACAATATTATTGATATGATAGCAATCTTGTAACTTAGGGATAAAATATTTGTTGATGAATTTCCCTTTATATGAGATATTTTCATCCTGAAAAGGCACCGTCTGGTGTGAATTATCCGCCTCTTGAGCCAAATATTTCGTTGCTGTCGAAAGCAGAACAATTATTCATGTTTGAGACTTTCAAATTCGAACCAAACAAATTCTTTTTTGGCAATTTTCAGCTAGCGATTTTGTTGGCCCAAACATGACTTGTTTGACAACGTGTTTGTTTTTCTCTCAGTGTATGATAATTTCGGTGTTACCTTTATCTCGAACTGTGGGAACCTCTCGACTGCGTAATCTACTCGAAGGGAACTGAGGTTCCGATGGAATTTCTCAGCCAACTGCTGAACCAGAAGGTCAACACCCAACAGGAATGACGACACATTCTGGCTGTACATTCTGATGTTGGTATGGAGAATTGCATACTGATACAGTTCCTTCTCCGTAACCGCACAAATGACTGCCTGCAACCATTATTACATGGATTTACGACCTTCTAGAGATTAGAGGAGACTTCAAGAGAAGTCTCAAATTTTCTAGAAAATTCAAGAAAATTCGCGAGTTTTCTACAAAATTTCTAGAAAATGCTGCGTTAAAAAAAATGTAAACAAGTCAGAGGTTTTCTAGAAAATTCTAGAGAAATCGGAACTGTGCCAGAAAATTTGGGAAAATTCTTAACAAATCATCATTTTTCAATATGATAATAAAATGCAGAAGAGGAGAATTGCCCGGGCAACATCTCCAATTCAAGGAAATTTTTGGATTTTCTAGAATATTCTCAAAAATTCGGGGGTTTTCCGAAAAATTCGAAAGAATTCTTGAGTCGTCTAGAAAAATAAAAAAAATTGACAGCTTTGCATACTGCAACATGCAACATACACTTCTAGAAAATTTGCTCGGAAATTCATGAAAATTTGCGAGTTTTCTACAAAATTTCTAAAAAATTCTGCGTAAAAAAAAATGTAAACAATTCTGGGGTTTTCTAAAAAATTCTAGAGAAATCGTAACTGTTCCAGAAAATTTGGAGAAATTCTTAACAAATCATCATTTTCAATTATGATAATAAAATGCAGAAGAAGAGAATTACCTCGGCAACGCCGGGCGCTTAGTTCTTAATATAAGCAATCGACTCACCAATGGCAGAAGGCAGCAGAGAACACCCAATGTCTTCATTTCGATGAATTGATTCAGATCTATTAGCACCTGTGGATGAACGTTACTACCATGTGTCTCCTCAACGCCTGAATTTATAGGTGAATCTGACCGGAATTACGCTTTGAGCAATTTTGATCCCTCTCCTCCCGTCGCTATATCAAATAGCGAAAACTCGCCCCACTCTGTTTCTCTGAATTATTCACGTCATATGAACTCATTATGATTCGAAGAATTCGAAAACGTAATTTTCAAACTCTGTGCGTATGTATCTGTATATGCAAACAAATTGTTTTGTAATTCCTCGGTAATGAGTCGATGATGGAACTTAATCTCTTTTTTAAATGGAAGTGTCGTCGACCCCTATCCACCAACACTAATTACAATTTAATTCATAGATCAATCATTAGAACTTTCAATTTTTTTAAATTCGTTGTCCCGCGATAACCCAAAAGAAATTTTCTGAATTCATTGAATGATGAATTTAAAAAATAGTTTTCATGTTCTTTGCATCCAGAAAAATGATTTATTTGAATCGAACAGAAACTCTCAAAATGATCAATACGATCTGCTTTCACATGACGTAAAATAAGAGAACTCTTCATTTGAAATTAATCAATTGTTTATTTAATGCTTCGTCATGTCAAAAACCGCCTGCTGAAGGCCGGGCAAAATGGAATACCGTTTTGTGGCCATCTCCAAATGCCAATATCTTCCTTTATAAATAAAGATATTCGTAATTTAAAGATATTCGTAACCCCTACATCGCTAAAATTTCAAGATCGTTTCAGTTTTTGCAAATAACAAGACTAGATTTGTTGTCTGACGGTTCCAATTCAGAATCGCTTTTTCTTTAAAAAAATGTTAATGGATGAATCATTGAAACTTGAACCACGTGCACCCTTACATACAATCATTATTTATATTGTACGTTTACATATCCCAATGACCCCCTGAGCGATTTTCCATATGATCCCAATTCTAAGTATTATGTACTATCGACACTTGTATAAATACCTTGTGTTGATTTATAGAACGATTCCACTAATTGAAAATCGGCTCCGTTGATATCTCCATTGCGAGTAGATAGCCTTTTATTTCACCATGAATTTTCTTTAGCTCGTGACAACAGTATATTTTGTTACGGAGTTTTTTGGCTCGTGGAAGATTTATAGCACGAGCCGAAGGCGAGTGATATAATCCCACGAGCCAAAAAACACTTTTCCCACGAGTATCGAACGATATTTTTCATTACAATGTGTGGAAAAGGGACGTTACTTTGCGTTACTTTGCGAAAAAGTTACTTTTTCGCACAGCATAACGAAAATAGATTATAAATTATGTTATTTCACTTTACAAAATTCATAAATATTATCGTTTTATTATCGTTTGGAAGCAGAATGGGATGAAATAAATAAAAGCTCGTGCCAATTTAGTCTTTGCCTCATCTTAGTGATTGAAAAATATTACCTTTTTCATAAATATTTTATCGTTAAAGAAAGTATGAATACATGTATATATTGACTTCTGCCGAAAAAAAATTTCCCAAGGTTCGAAAAAAATTTCCAGAAAACTCCGACTTCTCAGCCATTAGCGGTCATTACAACGATTTTATTAATCACTCGAATTTATAAAAAATAGACGATCTCAAAAGATTTCCATTTATGCCAATGTTTCGGACACACAAGGTGTCCTTCATCAGGGCAATAATTTATTCTTATTAATCCATTAGTTATTCGTGGATTCTGTCACAATATTCATACCAAAAAAGAAAAAAATAAATAAAACCGACAGGCGATACCAGCCTATCAGAAAAAACAAAAAATTCGGTAATTTTTTCTTGGAAAAAATTTCCGACAAAATTCCAGGCTTTTATGACATCGGGACTGGGTTGCCAATTGTGAAAGTCTCAATTCAAAATCTTTGAAATCTCAAAATAAGGACTTTTTTCTGGCTGTACACAGCAATGATAAATGTGTGAAAATTATCAGTTAATTATCATAATATACCCATCGTCTTAGGAGTGAAGGTCACGTCGTCACGAACATATCGACTCATCAACATAAAATATTGGGTTTAGAAAAAGAGAGTAAGTTACCAATTTTTTTTGGATAATTTTTCATCACACTTTATTACGACACAATTTCGGAAGCAACAGATGACAGAAAATTTCTCATGTACGATGCACACAACACCCCTACGTTGGATTCCCCAAATGACCGTAGAACGAATTTTTGAAAAGTTTTCTCTCATCATCATCTCCCAGCACATCCTCAATAAACTCCCTAAAAAAATCGTCACCCAGTGCTTTACAATCAGAAGAATTGAAAACGAGTTCCCATCGATCTAAGACACACCGCCTAATCCTAACATTCTCAAACAACACCTTACAGAGCCGAATATCTTTCATAAACACCACTTTTCGACCAATACGAATAATATCTTCAATATCTTGCTCTCCAGATAAATTTCTGTAAGTCTTGCAGAGTTCTTCAACAACTTGATAATATCTCGCACATCTTTCCGAGTCCATAATACTCAAGCTTCTAGCCATAATTATCCGCATGTCTTGCTGGCTCACAGCAAGAAAAATATTTTTCCATGACTCAACACACATGATCCAAGGCCAGTCCATGACGATCATCAGGCGATCAATCTCCAGAGGTTCTCCAGATCACAGGCGACCAATCTCACGTAAGATTCAAGCATTCTTCTGCCATGAACAGATCCAAAATCGTCCCAAGTCGGGTTCTTGATGAAGTAGTTAATCTTGATTGCACAGTTAGGATCCCCTTTGGTCATCATATCATTGCGCATGTCTCTCAACCATCTGAACATCCCCCTCGCTATAGACTTCAAGTAGTACCTCAAATGATGCTTCATTGGTCTTGGAAGGTTTAGGTCGTCTAGCTTCTTAATCACGTAGTCATTGATTTCTGGCCATTCGCCGACCGCGAGTATTGCGCGTGCCGCTTCATCCTCACTATATAGAATGCTTTCTATTTTTGATGATACGTCCGACTGTCTCCACAATTGTTGACATATTTTGATCATTGATATGTGTTGGAGAGTCAAGTTTAAGGTGAATTGGTGGTATTCGTAGGACATTTTGTGGAATTGATGATGTATTTGTTTTAGAATTTAATATACCAGTTTTAGTGGGGTAACCTATTGGCAATAATTTTATATTGTTGTCATGATGAGCCTTAAAAAACCCAATGTTTAGTAATGATTCTCGCCACACAATTTGTTGATGATGATTTTATTTAAATTTCACATTTTTCTATGCTGTAAGTAATTGGATACTTTTTTTTTTACTTTTAACTTTTTTAAAAGTTGATATTCTTTTACCATGTAACGGTCAAAGTGAATACAAGTCGGAACAAGATAATAGTTTTAGCATTAATTCACTGATACTGATAAGGTTGACGATTCCATCAGTTTGTTCGACATAATTGTTTATGAATACGGTTCCGCACTGTCAAACGTGCACATCGTCACTATTGTATTGTTTATGTTAGAGTAGAGAATTGAAAACAGACATCATCTGTAGAGACATTTGTCATCTTTAAAGACTCCTGCACGCGGTTTTTCGAGCCGCTCTTTCATTTGAGCCAAAAAAAACATTCATATCTTGTCTGACATCTCTGTTACAAACTCTGGTCATCAACGCTGGTTTTCAGTTGAAATTGGAATTGTTAATTTACACAATAATAGGATTGCATTGACGATTTTTTCTTAACTCACAAAAATCTTCAAACAATTTGCTATCGATTGGTCATAAAATTTTTTGGAAATAATGAAATAGAGGGGATAACGCCTTTTTTTTCAGAGGTGATTTTTCAAAAATTTATTTTAAAAAAAGTACTAACTAGCAAATGTTTTTTATTAGCTCGCAATTTTCTTCAAAACTACTTCAATGAGGAAAAAAATAATAATTTAGATTATCTATACATGAGGGGCTAATTGATCGGATCTCTGATATAGTCGCGACGATATTCTCCTTATTAGAAGAGACATCTGATATGAATTGGTACAGCCCTCTATTGGGTATAACCACCACTAATACTTATTTGGAGGAGAAATGGTGCTTGCCTCTTCTAGAGTGAGAGGATATAACCACATTGAATAGAAGATTAGAAGAGACAGACATAACCAGTAAGGAATAACAACAACTGCAAAAACCGTGAGAGCCGTGAAGAAGCTAAAGAATGATTTTGCACTAAATTATTAACATTTTCAATTTTGTCAGGTATTTGAGACTTCGTAAAAACATAATGGCATCCAGGTTCAGTGGTGCCCTGCAAATAACGAGCCTGGATGATTTTATAACTCCATCGCAGGTAGTTAACCTCAAGAACTCTTTCTGTCAATGATTTAATTATCATTTTTCACTGAGTTCTTATGATTTTTTTTACATCAGGAATGCATAAAACCGATTGAAGTCCTGAAATCAACGAGCAAAACCGGTTCTAAAATAAAAATTCAGGATGACGGGGCTTACGTTCAGCTCAATGAGGTGACAATAATTATCAATAATTATTTATATAAATTTTTAATTGATTATTCAATTCAATAAATTATTTTTCTGTGACCAATTTCACGTGACTCACTGACCAATTAGAATTGAGGATTAGTGATCTGACAGTTTCGATATATTTCGATATAAAACAACTTCACGAAACGCTTATCTTTTTTTCAGATAGGATAATAATAATTCAGTAAGGCAGCAGTAAAATGGTTCAAGTCGATTTTGATTATTCGCCAGTTTTCAATGAATATCTCCCAATCTAAGGGAAATAACAAAATTTTTCTTATGACCTTGTTTGTAGCCCTCAATTCGCTCTACAGAAAAGGTCATTATGAAAATTTCGTCATCTCCCTTAAGGTAACCTCATTTTTACGTCCTATGCTCCAATGTATAACCCCCAGAAACATCAAGATTTTGACGCACATTTTGAATGACAACTCATGATTCCTGTGATCATGAATAGTGAAATTGCAGGAATGTATTTTGGAAACATGTACGATGCGATAAATCAAGTATTTGGATTCTTAGCATATTGTCCATGGTCGTCATTCCCCATTGAAATGTGTCTCATAAAGCTCTGTACAAATGACAATTTCAATTTTTTTCTCTACAAAAATCAATGTGGTAAATCGTGTTGGGACTTTCGGGACAACTTTCTAATTTATTGAAAGAATATATCCTCAAAATTTCAACCCTGTAGCACATTTCCTTCTACTCCCATATGACTACTGCGGAAGTACCTTAAATTCGGAGATATTCCTCGGCCCGATGGCCTGGCGCAGTGGGGTTGTTGCCTCACGTGCGCAATATTCCGAATTCAAATACCGATTGAGTAGAATGGGAAGATCTAACACCATTTTAAAGTCTTGATCATCAAATCAAAATATTTTGTTATTAATATACAAGATATTCAAGTTTAGGATAGAAATAATCCGAAGTCAAGCATGGCAGAATAGATTGGTGACAAAAAACGTTACATTCTTTTTTTAAAAGATGATTCCATGTTTTCATCTCGTTTGTCACTATTCCCTGCATATGACTCGTATAATTGTTTGCTTTGTACAACATAATGTACAGTTAATAAACCTCAATCAGTCACGCATTCTCTCTCTCCCAGAGGGGATCAGAGAAATTGCAGAAGGTGGAGATCACCCTGGCGGACTGTCTCGCCTGTTCCGGCTGCATAACGACAGCCGAGAGTGTCCTGGTGACCCAACAGTCCCAGGAGGAGCTCCTCAGGGTCTTCCAGGAGAACCAAGCCCTCAAATCCCAGAACAAAACCCCAAAGCTCATAGTAGTGAGTCTCTCAGTTCAGCCCGTCCTCTCCCTCGCCCAGAAGTACGACCTTGACCCTGGGGAGACCACCAGGCGACTGTCCGGCTACTTCAAATCACTGGGTGCAGATCTAGTCCTGGAGATGTCGACAGCTGAAGACTTCGCACTGCTGGAGTCTGCGAAGGAATTCACCGAGCGATTCAAGACCCATCAGGAGGGGTCCAAGGGACAGATACCTATGTTGGCATCTTCGTGTCCGGGGTGGGTCTGCTATGCCGAGAAGACCCATGGCAATTTTATTCTACCCTTCATCAGTGTCACCAAGTCGCCGCAGCAGATCATGGGATCTCTTGTCAAGAATTATCTCGCTGAGAGGTGGTGTCTCTCTCCGGAGAGGATTTATCATATCACTTTAATGCCTTGCTACGATAAGAAGCTGGAGGCGTCGAGGGAAGACTTTTATAACAAGTACGAATGATTTTTGACGGGGATACGTCTATGTTGTCATTATGGGGGGGCATTTGGGGGGAAAGTCCTTATGGTTCCTTATCGGCAGTAGCGCCATCTATCGTAATTCTAAAATATTCTAGATTTTTCTTGAAAATTCGAGAAAAATCTCCAGTTTTTGTGGAAATAAATTCCAATATACCGCCAGTTGGTTATTATTGCATGTAAGGAATCCAATTTGTGGATCACAAATTTCGGATGTGAAGAGCATAGACGTATCCAGGTTTGACGTTGGGTTTACATTCCTCAGGAGATCTGGATAATATGAAGACACGAAAATGGCCCATATTATTAGGAGTAAGAACATTCACGCCTATTTTTTCCAGTAGTTGACACATTTGATGGATAAATTCGGCGATTTTTTAAAATCTTACTTTTGATTTTCCTATTGAATTCTTCAACCACATTTTTTTTGCATTCCATGTGACCTTCCGCAGAATCAATTGTATGGAATTTAAAATTACCCAGTTCCTTCTGTTGAATAAAAAATGAATGTTATTGAAAAATGAAGAGTCCTTTGTCCTTGATTATTACGGTTCAATAATTTTCTGCCTAATATTTTGTCCCGTAATATTTTTGCGTAATATTTTTTACCGTAATATAATGGTTCCGTAATATTTGGGCCTGCAACCCAAGGAAGGAATTTTACATTTGAGACTATGAGTATTATCAATCGTTAAAGAAAAAAACAGTGAAATTGAGGAGTTCCAACGGTGGGTCAAGGATTTTCAAATCGAATTCTCAAAGCCCGTTCTTCATCCGCATGTATCGTAATGAAGATGATCAATTCTTGTATTCTTGTATGGGGTCCTGTCGTCAATTACAAAAAAAATTGAATTCTTCACTTTATTTCATCAACAGAGCGAAAGAAACCAGAGACGTTGACTGCGTGATAACAAGCATTGAGCTCGAGCAGATGTTAGAGAACCAGGGAAAGAGTCTGACTGAGGTGGATCCTGCGCCCCTGGACAGGCCCTTCACCACCGATGAGCAATCAGAAGTGGATCTTTGGTCCCACAGGGGCTCTGGCTCCGGCGGATACGCAGACTTCATCTTCGAGTATGCGGCGAAGCATCTCTTTCAGATTTCCGATTCTCGGCTTGACCTGAAGAGTCTAAGGAACCCTGACTTTCAGGAGGGCGTCCTGGAGAGAAATGGAGAGGTCCTCCTCAGGTTTGGGGTGGCCAACGGCTTCAGGAATATCCAGAATCTTGTGCAGAAACTCAAGAGGAACAAGTGCACTTATCACTATGTGGAGGTGATGGCTTGTCCAGCAGGTGAGAATCACTTTTTTCTGAAATCGAAAACTTTCTGAAATTAAAATAAGAGTTCATGCTCCGGATACATGAATGTTGATGTCTCCTCGGTCGTAAGTAAATTATTTAAGTTTTATTTTTCTCCGAAATAGTTTTCGTTAAACTGGACTTGAGACCAGTATAACTTTTTTGCTACTGAATGGTACATTGGGGAGGAAGATATACCAGTCATGAAACTTTAATGATGCCTAAATTTCCCAAAGGTTTGACACGAGCTCTATATGCCCTGGTTAAACTTCTAACAGACGCCGACTAAATTAAAATTAAACTGGTTTAAACTTCCACTGAACATTGATTAAAGCATGACGAAAGCTCGGTTAAACCCTGATTAACCTCCAATTAAATCCCGGCTAAACTCCGATTAAACTTTGACTAAATCCCGACTAAATCGTGATTAAACCTCGATTAAATGCTTTTTAAGGCTATAATTTCAAAGTAAATGACGCGATCGCCATTATCTTCGAACTCGACCGAGATAGCATCCAAACCAATATTTTAAGCCATAATTGAAAAGATCTCGACAATTATTTTTTGCACAATCGTCGAAAAAAATTGTTTAAAAACAACATATTCGAAGTCCTGAGACCAAAATTAGTCATCGTTACATAAAAAAATGGCAATTTCAGATTTGATAAATACAATTCTTCCATTTGGAACCAAAAACTTCAGAATTAAGATGTTTCCCATTTTTTGGCATTTTAACATTTCTTGAATATCAATTTTTTTTGTCAGATTGATTGCTTTTGTTCGCATCACTTGCGAGTGCCAAATTATCTTTAAGATCTATGAAAATTGCGAAAAAATTCCCAATGATGCAGATATTTCTCCCATGAATTTGTTCAATTTCAATTTCTTTCAATTTTTTCAATTTTTTTTTTCATTATTTTGCCTTTTCACACGAAACACCTTAATTCGCGTATTTTCAACAGGATGTCTCAATGGTGGAGCACAAATTCGCCCTCAGGACGGCTCACAGCCCAGGGAATTGGCGCAAAGGCTGGAGAAAAATTATCACGATCTTCCAGAGAGTAAACCTGAAAATAATAAAGTCGTACAGAATTTGTACAAGTCATGGCTGGGCTCGGGCCACACTGACAAGGCCTCGGCATTCCTTCACACTCAGTACCATGAGATTGAAAAGATGAGCAGTGCATTGGCCATGAAATGGTGATATTATTTTATGTTATCGATTAATAAATTGTGAATAAATTGAGATATAAACCCTTTTTTTTCAGTACAACTAATTAAACTCATGTTTCCTGAAAAAATGAACAAAAATAATTTATTTATCAATGTAAATAACAATTGAAAAATGTCTCTTACGTTGTTTTAATAATTAACATAAATTATAATTATTATGGTCATAATTATTTCTCCAACACTTGGACTAGTTTTTAGTTCGTCTCTCTTTCCCATTCACCTTGTGTTTTCTCCCCGCTCTAATTACTGAAGTAATTAACTGAATTGGTCAAATGAAGCCAAGCATTTTTTTCCTGTAATCTTAGACATGAAAAATATTGCTTCAATGCTTGAAATAAAGGCTTAATGCTATCGATAATTATTCTACGCTGTGCAGATGCTAGAGATCACAAGACGAACGTTGTACTGTTGCAGAATGATTTTCATGTCAATTTGGTGGATGGAAAATCGATTGTCATCGATTTTTGAGATATTCCAAATTCAATGAAAAATCATTCGGTGTTTTCAATGGCTAAAAAAATTAATTCGTAAATGGAGATTACTGATTAGACGTGGGATTATTTATATACACATTCAGATGACATAAAAAAATGATTGTTTTTTAATCACTTGATTACTCGTTTCTGCAACAAAGTATGAGCGAATTGTTCAATAAGGAATTTAATAGGGAACAGCAATTGCCAATTAGTTTTTGAAATTCGACTCCTAGCCAGATAATTTCGTTTTGTTTAAAAAATTGCACCATTCATGTAAAATAGCCAGAAGAATCCTCAAAATATTAAAAATATATTCTCGATTCGTTCCGAAATATTTTTAGCCCCCGACTTTTGAAACTTTAGTAGTCTCCCCGTAATTCTGTCTATAAAGAATAAAAAAGTCTCGAATATGCAATTTCCTTTAATCATGAATATAAAGGATCATCACTAATGGAAATTGAATATTGAATCATTTCTTGTTCTGTAAATGACATTGATTCGCGGAATTGGAATGAAGCTAAAAATAGCAAAATGATCGTCAGCGGAAAATTCAATTTAGGGGATATTTAACTGTCCTATTCCGAGTCACATAATCATGTGTACAAATTACATTATATTAATCCGATAAAATTTTTCATCTTCGATTTTTATTCTTTGCTATTTTTTTCATGTATTCTATCAAAATGTGAGGGCATAAATTGAATTGATGGGTATTCTTCCATTATTTGAAAAAATATATCCATTTTAAAACTTTCCGGAGACAGTGAAAAATCGAAATTTTTATTTTCTTGCTGATCACGTATCTCTGTTTATTTTCACTTTCTTCCATTGAAATTGGATCATAGAAAGGGAACATATTGATATTTTTTCGGCATCTAAAAAAAATGGAGGTAGAATGAAAAATAAAAAAGATGGAAATAGTTATATGAAAAATGTAGCATATAAAGAAATTTGTGAACAGTGATGTAATTGTGAAAAATATATAGATCATCATCTCAAAAAAAGTATCAATACTCTCCTTATTATTTAACATAAATATCTCTTCATTTGAAAATGAGAAAACCTGTTCCCACAATTTGTATACTACAATGGGATTAAAATCCAATAAATTTAATTTAATCTAACCGCAATGAAAAATTGTAAAGAAAAGAATAAAATAAATTAATATAATATAATCTAGTGTTTTTTAAGTGCGAAAGAGTTTGTACATTACTTAAAAACATTTGTACCCCCCTAGATTCGCCTAAGACAAACCTTCTGCTGTCGAATCTTTCGCAAGTTTCAGCTTCATGGAATTGGGAGGCACTGGAAGGAGAAAAAATAAGTGTAAGGATGTGTTTTTGAGGAAGAAATGTGCGAGGAAAATTTGAGATAAAAAATGTCGGGGGAATTTCGTGAGAGAAGAAAAGTCGATGAACCTTTCACATTTTATCAAATATATCGAGAACTTCAAGAGATAGAGAATGGATTTTTGGCTTGAGTCAAAATGGGATTAATATTAGGACCTGAAATAAGGGATTAGGGTAATCAAATCAATGGGACAATGAAACTAATTGAGCTTCGTTTTTCTTTGGATTTTTGAGTCAAAATGGCTCAGAAAGCTCTCCGGCTGTCGGTTGAGACCAAATTAATCTCCCCTTCTCCGATTCTCGATACATACGAGAACCTCAGGAGCTCCATCACTCAATCTCCTCCAAAAGTCCGTGCAAAATGATAAAGATTATCTCGTGTTATCATTCACAATGATATTATCATTATCCACATAATCCTGTGATTTTTTATCAAGCTCAATGTCCGTACTGAATCCATCCTCAATGTACCTTATTTCGTCACTTTCAGTTGTGAAAATTTTCTCACCACTTTCACCCAAATAATCATTGCAATTATTCACTTTAATCAACCACTCCTGACTGCTCGACACATCTCTGGACACAACCAGAAACAACTCCTTCTCCTTACTCTCAATTTGGTCCTTCAGGTATGTCAGCAAGTCGTCGTCCTTGCCGATCAGCTGGGGTGAATCGAGCTTCGAGTCGAGATTGTAAAAGGCACCTTGGATTTTCTTCAGGGCTATCCAGTGACGTTTCTTCAGGGGTAGAAGAACAAAACCCAGTTTGTATTCTGTGGGAACGTTGAGGATGAAGCCGTCTATGTTGTCGAGATTCAGACACTTTGGATCCCTTGGGAATAATCGTAAAAAATTATTTTTTGAATGAAATTTCATTTTCCGATGAGTTTTCGAGGAATATCTGCGAATCTACGGGAGATAGCAAAATTTTCGTGAAGACCTTTTTTGTAGAGCGCATTGAGGACTACAAAAAAGGTCATGACGAAAATTGTGCTATACCCCTTGGATTCCGAGATATTCGGTGACAACTGGTCGATGGTGAAAATCGACTTTAATAGTTTTACTTAATTTAAACTCGGATTTTTAAAAAAATAAGGAAAATTCTCTCACCTTCTCTTGTCAAACCAGATAGCCTCGCAGCCCTTCCTCTGTAGTGCAGCCATGATAACGTTGATATCATAATTCCCCAGTCCCAAGAGTGACTTGTGAGGATTAATCCAGACATCAGGACTCAATCCGTAACAAATCTGATCCAGCTCCGCTTTACTGAAGCCCCTCTCTTGAAAGAGGTTATTCAGGGCGTGCAGGGCGCACAGCTCCTTCACCTGAAACCCCAATGATCCTTTAAAGTAGCTCTACCCTTACGGTAAATGGAAAGATTATTGAAAACTGCAAAAAATTGCAGAAAACTCGATTAAATTCGGAATTCTAATTTTTCTCTCAATTTAAGGCCCGGGTGTACTATCTTTCGAATGTTATCTCGATGTTTTTTTTCATCTTTCGTCATCTGAAATTGCCAATTGAGTCCTGCATCATGCAGAAGTTTTGAAAAATTATGAATGAATAATGAAAAAAAAGTAGAAAAAATTCTTAATTTTTTCAAAGAGCATTTTTAATTTATATTCAGAATAAGTTGAATAACAAGAAATTGAAAATAACAGCTAATAAATAATTTGCCACAGCGAATCAATTATTTGTAATTTCTACTTTTTTCAACTCATTCTGAATCTCAATTAAAAACGCTCTTTGAAAAAGTTCATAATTTTTTCTATTTTTTTTTATCCTTCTATCATAATTTTTGGGATAGAATGATAATTTTTGTACATTACTTAAAAATATTTATTATAGGGGAGAGTGGGCTAAAATGAGCACTTTTTGCTTTTTTTGAAATATTCATGACGTGTTGAATTGTTCATGAAATGGAATAATGTTATTTTTCCATTAAAAGAGCAATGATTCCTCTTCGTGATGACCTTAGACTGAGCTCAATTGACAAATCTGTTTCTGAGTTATGAATACTTTTAAAAAAGTCAAGTGTCCAGTTTACCCCACTCTCCCCTAAAACTGCAAAAACAATCCTAAAGTTCGATCAAGCCCTGAAAAGACCCCTAGGGGGTCACCCTCACCTGTCTCTCATGATAAATCGGTCCAGTCATGTCCCCCTGACCACTGGCCACCATCTTCGCACTACATATCTCCCCCAATCTCCCCAGAAACCGCAACAAAAACTCAATCGTCACCTCCAAAAAATAAATAATCACTTCCCCGATCGTCTCCTGACGTTTCTGATCCCTCTCGGAGGTCTCCCCCGATGACAAAACTGAAAAAACGTCGTCAGAGCCTTCGTCAACTCTCCCGTGAGCCCAGAAAACCCGGCGAAATCCCTGAGACGTGGGGCCAGTGGTTCTCACTGTTTTTCCAACGAAAATTTCATGAGTGTTTTTTCGGCAGTTGCAGTTGAACGATGATTCCGGGTTCTTTCTGACGTTACACTCTTGTTGATCAACGCAAATCGGTCAGTGCAACACTCCCCCCACATCCCAGAAACTCCAAACAATTTATTAACGACGAATTTAGTCGATTGTTCGGAGGAAAAGTGAAAATTATTCATTTTTCATCGAAATTTCGTGACTTTCTCTCGTCTCACTTCTGTTTATTTTTATTCCCCACGTCTGATTTCACTCGCTGGCACCACATCATGCCCTTCAATATGCTTTCGATGTGATTTTACGACAGATTCAGCGACAATTGATTAATAATTCATTAAATTACTCGTTTTTTCGCGATTGTGTCGGCGTTTTTTTGACGATTTTTCAGTGGTTTTCACCTGTAAAAATATTTTCATCTGCGTTTCTGATGTTTCATCAGCTGTGTCATTGTCCTGATGATGATTTTTCGTGGTTTTTCAGGTGGTGAGACCCTGGGGAAGTCGCGAAGACCATCCGGAAGAGGGAAATTTCGAGGACAAAGTGGAAAACAAAAAGTGATTTTGCGTCGTGGAACTGTAGTTTCAGTTGTGTGATGAGTCCTGGAGCCTCCTGGAGGCTCTTTGTGGTTATTTCACAGGTCACTGGGGTCAGGGGAGACCCCACCGTGTGTTGATGAAGTGAAAGTGGTGAAGGGAATTTTTTGAATTCCATTTTTCAAAGATTTTGAGAGTTTTTTTGGTTTTTGGGGCCTTTCGAGAGCTTGGAGATGTCTGCTGGAGCTTCGCGGCCTCCCTCAGGGGTGCAGGGGGGTGCGGGGGAGCAAGAACCCCCAGCTGTGCCGGATTATTCGAGTATCAGGGGAAAGGTACGAAATTCATAAACTTTATTTCTGCACTTCAACTTATTTTTTTAAAGATTTATTCAATTTTTAAACCTGTAGTATTACTTCATCATATCAATGATCAATGAAAGAAATTGAATTATCATTTTTTTCGTAATGAATAATAATAGGGGGAGTGGAGTAAAACGGCCCCTTTTGATATTTTCAAAACAAGATCTGCGCGCGCGCTCTCGCGCGCGCTGATCTATTCATATGTTGAAATGAAGAAATGCAATTCATTATATTTCATTTTCTCATGAATACCTTATAAATATTGATAATGAATCAAAGAGAATTCGACTAATGATTGAAGTGAATAGCGAAGTAGAGTAAAAGAATCTATAAAGAATTTTTTATTTTCAATTAATTGTCTCCAATTTTTTTAAATAATCGGTCTCCATAAAAGGACAATTTATTAATTTCACCGATAATATATATACACGTGAAATATATACATTTTCTATATATGACGTGAAAAAAAATTTACCACTGAAGAATTTGAAAATGCCGCGTGTTTTTTTTGTGAATAACTTCGTGTCACATATTGACCAATCAGAATTAAGGATTAGCGGTCGGGCAGTTTCGAGATATTTCGATATAAAACAACTTCAGGTTTCTTTCATCTTTAGTCAAAAACATGTTGGAAGTGATTTTTGAATTGACAAAAAAAAGTTCTTCCGCGAAATTGGGAGAATAAATGATGAATTCATCGACCGATTAATTATTAATTGAATTTATATCTTTGTTGTTGTTGTCGAGGGTAGGACGTGCTTGTGAGCCCCTCAGAGGAACAGTATGAGCTTCTCCTGAGGCGGCTGAAGGAGAGAATACTGGATGGAGGCAGTGAGACTATTTTCGACATTGGAATTGGTGAAGGTGAGGGAAAGAAATAGATTAGAATAAATTTAGGTCAAGTTTTAAGGTCATATGAGGGATGTATGAGAGTCCTAACGCGGGAGGGGGCCGGGCCCCCTGAACTTATTGAGTGAAATGGCATGGGTAAGTCTATTACGACCAGAAATAGTCCCCAGCCGCCATAAGAATCATGAAGGGTAGTTTGTAAGGGTCATGAAGGTCAGAAAGCTCATATTAGAAGAGACGAGTGGGGGGGCTAAGCCCCCCTATTATAGTCAAGGATATGATCAGGTTTGAGAAGTCTAAAATCCCCATAGGGGTCACGAGGGTCTCGAGGAAGTTTTTGAGATCGGGAAGCTCATATTAGAAAAGAAACGAGTGGGGGGGCCGAGCCCCCCCTGAATTGACGAGTGATATAACAAGCGCGAGTCTATTATAGTCAAGGATATGATCAGGCTTGAGAAGTCTAGAATCTCCATAGGGGCCACGAGGGTCTCGAGGAAGTTTTTGAGATCGAGAAGCCCATATTAGAAGAGAGACGAGTGGGGGGGCTAAGCCCCCCTATTATAGTCAAGGATATGATCAGGCTTGAGAAGTCTAGAATCTCCATAGGGGCCACGAGGGTCTCGAGGAAGTTTTTGAGATCGAGAAGCCCATATTAGAAGAGAGACGAGTGGGGGGGCTAAGCCCCCCTATTATAGTCAAGGATATGATCAGGCTTGAGAAGTCTAGAATCTCCATAGGGGCCACGAGGGTCTCGAGGAAGTTTTTGAGATCGAGAAGCCCATATTAGAAGAGAGACGAGTGGGGGGGCTAAGCCCCCCTATTATAGTCAAGGATATGATCAGGCTTGAGAAGTCTAGAATCTCCATAGGGGCCACGAGGGTCTCGAGGAAGTTTTTGAGATCGAGAAGCCCATATTAGAAGAGAGACGAGTGGGGGGGCTAAGCCCCCCTATTATAGTCAAGGATATGATCAGGCTTGAGAAGTCTAGAATCTCCATAGGGGCCACGAGGGTCTCGAGGAAGTTTTTGAGATCGAGAAGCCCATATTAGAAGAGAGACGAGTGGGGGGGCTAAGCCCCCCTATTATAGTCAAGGATATGATCAGGCTTGAGAAGTCTAGAATCTCCATAGGGGCCACGAGGGTCTCGAGGAAGTTTTTGAGATCGAGAAGCCCATATTAGAAGAGAGACGAGTGGGGGGGCTAAGCCCCCCTATTATAGTCAAGGATATGATCAGGCTTGAGAAGTCTAGAATCTCCATAGGGGCCACGAGGGTCTCGAGGAAGTTTTTGAGATCGAGAAGCCCATATTAGAAGAGAGACGAGTGGGGGGGCTAAGCCCCCCTATTATAGTCAAGGATATGATCAGGCTTGAGAAGTCTAGAATCTCCATAGGGGCCACGAGGGTCTCGAGGAAGTTTTTGAGATCGAGAAGCCCATATTAGAAGAGAGACGAGTGGGGGGGCCGAGCCCCCCCTGAATTGACGAGTGATATAACAAGCGCGAGTCTATTATAGTCAAGGATATGATCAGGTTTGAGAAGTCTAGAATCTCCATAGGGGCCACGAGGGTCTCGAGGAAGGGTTTGAGGATCAGGAAGTTCTTATAAATGTTAAGCTCCAAGCTCTAAGAATAATATGCGGGATATATAGGGGTTATATCACACGGGGGAAGGAGCAGGGGGGCTGAGCCCCTCTGGGTCTTATCACGCCGGTCGGAAGAGAGACCAGTGAGGGGGGCGAGCCCCCCCTGAAGGGGTCTTATCACAGGGCGGAACCAGCGGGGGGGCCGAGCCCCCCGGGGTCGGCCACTGAAATGCGCAGGGGGCGCAGCCCCCTCATGTCAATTTTTTTAAAACAATCAAATAGCCTTTCAAATGAAAGAATCAATTAATTAATTAATTAATTAATCAACTCCAAAAAATTATTCAAAAGACGGATCAGAGGATGGTCTGAAATCCGACGAATACGAGGCTTCAGTGGCGACTCTCCAGTCGCTAGCAGCAACTCTAGAAGCCGACTGTGTTCTTCTGAGACAGAGTAAAGTGGACCAGGGTCTCACAGGGCAATACCTGGTGAGACGACGCCTGGACCAGCAGGACTTCCTGGAGATTCGAGTGGCTGTGGTGGGTAATGTCGATGCTGGCAAATCGACACTCCTGGGAGTTCTCACCCACGGTGAACTCGACAATGGACGAGGCCTCGCTAGGCAGAAACTCTTCAGACACAAACACGAGGCTGAGACTGGACGTACCAGCTCGGTGGGGAACGATATCCTGGGATTTGATAGTGTCGGTGAGTCCATGTGAATTTGCTAATTTTTTTTTTCGTAATTTACAAGCCTCCGCATATATTTTCACATTTTTTTTCCTCTCAATTTTTTATCGTCTTTTCCAAAGATTTTTTCGCATTTGGACACATTTCTCTGACATTTTTTTGGGAGGAAAATTATGAAAAAAAGAGGATACAAAAAAATTATGGGTTTCACTTGAACACGAAAAAAAATTTTGTTTTCAACTATTGAAGGCAATGTCGTGAACAAACCAGAGCACGGTTCCCTCGACTGGGTTAAAATATGTGAAAAATCATCGAAAGTGATAACATTCATCGACCTCGCTGGCCACGAGCGTTACCTGAAGACAACAGTCTTCGGAATGACTGGCCACGCTCCAGATTTTGGTGAGCGAGTGAAAGTACTCCAAAGAGAACCCAAAAAATGCCAAGTCCATTCTAATCATAACGACATTCTGCCTTTCTCCAGGCATGCTCATGGTGGGGGCTAACGCAGGAATCGTGGGAATGACCAAGGAACACCTGGGGCTCGCCCTCGCCCTATCTGTTCCTGTTTTCGTGGTCGTTACCAAGATTGACATGTGTCCACCCAATGTTCTCCAGGAAAATCTCAGGCTACTGATAAGAATTCTCAAATCACCGGGTTGCAGGAAGGTTCCTGTCATTGTCAAGACGCCTGATGATGTTGTTGTCAGTGCTACCAATTTTGTTTCTGAAAGGTAGACTTGACTGTTCACTGAACACCTGAAAAAATTGCCTTTCCCTTTTCTATTTTTTTTTTTAGTACGAAAAATAATTGAGACAATTTTTAATTTCATCTTCCTCAATGGGAAATCCATTCTGATTGTTTTGGTCCACAGACTGTGTCCAATATTTCAAGTATCAAACGTCAATGGCGAGAACCTGAACCTCCTGAAAATGTTCCTGAATCTGCTCACAGCAAGAATGATAAGCCACGACGACGAGCCTGCAGAATTTCAAATTGACGACACTTATTCAGTCCCTGTAAGTGAAAAAATCTTATCCTTTCCTTGAAAACAGACACAAACAACCCAACAGTACTTGTATGAAAGGCTCAGAGGAATTCCCATTGAGAAATTTTGATAAAAGATCTCTTCAGTTGCCCCACTTTGCAGTCCCTCCCTCCTCCCAAGCTTCACAAGGCGTCAGAAATTAAATTCCCGAATGAATTGTCTTCAGGGTGTGGGGACGGTAGTCTCCGGAACAACCCTCAAAGGTATCATAAAGCTCAACGATGTTCTGCTACTGGGTCCGGACCCCCTCGGTCACTTTATTCAGATCGCAGTGAAGAGCATCCACAGAAAACGAATGCCCGTGAGCGAAGTGAGAGGCGGGCAAACGGCGAGTTTCGCTCTGAAGAAGATAAAACGCTCACAAATTCGCAAGGGAATGGTCATGGTCTCGCCAGCCTTGAATCCCCAGGCCTGTTGGGAGTTCGAGGGTGAAATTCTCGTTCTTCATCATCCAACGACAATCAGCTCCAGGTACCAGGCTATGGTTCACTGTGGCAGCATCAGGCAGACAGCTTCCATTCTATCGATGTCGCAGGACTGCCTGAGGACTGGGGACAAGGCTCTCGTTCACTTCAGGTTCATCAAGCATCCTGAGTACATCAAGCCCGGACAGAGAATGGTCTTCAGGTAATTTTAATAACTCGTGAATCTTAATGAACAAATTACTGATTTTTTTAATCTAGAGAGGGACGAACAAAAGCCGTTGGGAATGTTCTACGACTGATTCCCTACTCGTCAGCTATCAACTCCCAGAATTCACGATCAGGTAAGCCTAATAAGAATCAGCAGAGTCGGCAGAATGCCCTCGAGGGAGAGATCAATGGAGCCTTCGATGGACAGGCCTCAAAACGTGAGAATGTGCCCCAGAAGTCAGGGTCTGGACCAGCGAACAAAAAGGGAAGGGGGAGGAGGGGTGGGAGGCCTCACAATCCATCGAACCCCAGTGTGCAGCCCCTCTCCGAGCAGAATCCACCTGCTAAAGTCTAAATTGAGACGGATTATCTCAAGATTCGATGTAAAAATTCTATGAAAATGGTTTTCGTTTTTTTTCGTTCAGCTGTTTTGTCAGGAGTCTGCAGGTTTCTGGATATTCTGGGGATTATCTTCACATTTTGAAGAGGTGGAGGATGACTGTTGGGGCTAGGGGAAGGCCAGTGAAATTTCCGGTGGGAAACTCGTTTAGGATAGGGGAGGGTTGGGTAAAACGGACACTAGACTTTTTAAAAATTATTCATAACTCAGAAACAAATTGATCAATTGAGCTCCGTTTAGGCTCGCCCCAAAGGGAAAGAATTGTTTTTTGTATTGAAAAAGAAATTATTAAATTTTATCAACATTTCAACCCCTCATTAACATTTTTAAATAAGTCAAGTGTCCGTTTTACCCCAACCTCCCCTACTCTGGAAAAAAAATTGGAATTTTTTTTTTTTGAAATTTTGAATTTTTATTTCCATCTCATTTTGAAAATCAGAGGAATGAAGGAATCGCTAACCATTTTTCTAAATTTCCCTGGCTTTCTACAGGGCCGCCTTCGAATTTTCAATCTCTCCAAGCTGTCCAGATATTCACCGTAATGATGAAAAAAATGGAATGATCAAGCTAAAATTGAACTTTTCTACAAACCCAATGTTTTCTTGTTTCGTTTCCCTAAATATAGTTACGCACATTGAAAATTATATGAAAATTAATCTCCAGAAGAGTTGATAAAAATTCTAAAAAATAGATATGGAACAGTATTTTTTTAAACCAAAATGAATGTAATTTGTTTTTGATTTGAAGCATTTGATGATCGAATCATGATGAAAAAAATTCTTATTCAAAATGAAGATGTTGGAGTTGTTTATTTTCCCAATCCTTCCAGGAAAATCTGAAGCTACTGGGAGTTCCCACATTTACCATTGAATTTATCATCCTTATAAACTTTGATTACCACTGATCATTAATTGATATGGAGGTAAATTGGAGAATTCGAGACAGACGATCACATGACCGTCATATAACCACCAATGACGGTCACATGACCGTCATATAACCATTAATTTCGGTCACATGACCGTCACATAACTTATACAAAAAGAATTCCAAGAGAATTAGAATTTAGAGAGAAAAAATTTCCGCTTCACCCAGCCGGGAATCGATCCCGAGTCCCCCGGAATCATTAATGACGGTCACATTACCGTCATATAACCATTAATGACGGTCACATGACCGTCACATAACATATACAAAAAGAATTCCAAGAGAATTAGAATTTAGAGAGAAAAAATTTCCGCTTCACCCAGCCGGGAATCGATCCCGAGTCCCCCGAAATCATTAATGACGGTCACATTACCGTCATATAACCATCAATGACATGACCGTCGTGACGCATTTACATTTCCAAGTGGCTAGTCACCTGGCGCCATTAGTTCGTGAATTGGCCGAAAATACTGCAATCCTTTCCATCGAACGGTAATCCCTCTCCTTCATCCCAACTCCCTACCTTACCGTCACCCCCCTAAAGTTGACTCTCAAAGTCACACGACAATCACACAACCCAGACACCAAACCAAACCTGGACCTACACCAAACCCTTCCCAAATACCTGAAGACTCTTGCGTCAGTGTTCGTTGGTGTTTGCTAATATTTCAAGCATCGCGGTGGTGGGGGGCGAGAGGGATTAGTCCCTGGTAATCTTCAGCGGTGGCTTCTGGTTCGTCAGTTCTTGGGTGGTGTGACTCCCTGGTGTACCGTAATGTGTTGAGGTGTCACAAAATATTCATCACTGAGTTATGTCACGCCTTGGCGTGCTAGTCACCTCAAGAACACTCTCCACGATTTAATTTCCTGTTCTTATTCAGTCCTCGGGGGGTTTATTGGAGACAATTTGCCTCTTTCCTGGGGCTGGGGGCGTCAATCTCGTGCTCGTGGTGTCAGTGCAAGAATGGAGAACAACGGAATACCGTCTAATGTGTCTAGGCAACATCTCGTGGTTAATGATGAACCGGCGGACAATATCAGTGGGGACGACAAGGGGGTGGAGGTCATGGAGGACAGGAGGGTATCCAGGAAGGAGTGGGTCACTGTCGTCGTACTGTGCTTTGTTAATTTGATTAATTATATGGACAGGACCACCATTCCTGGTGAGTTTTCAGACGAGTGGAGCTGAAACTAGCGATAGATTTGACAGCAGACGATTTGTCTTTGGCGATTCTAGGGGGGGTTGGGGTAAAATGGACACTTTTGAGTTTTTTTTTAATGTTAATGACGGGTTGAAATGTTGATAAAATGTAATAATTTTTTTTTTCAATATAAAGAATTCTTTTCCTTTGTGATGAGCTTAAAGTGATCTTAATTAATAAATTTGTTTCTGTGTTAGGGATAATTTTAAAAAAGTCTAGTGTTCATTTTATCCCACCCTCCTCCATAAATATTTTTAAGTAATGGACAAACTCTTTCGCACTTGAAAAACATTTGTAGGGGAGAGCGGGGTAAAATGGACACTTTTGACTTTTTTAAAAATATTCATAACTCAGAAACAGATTTGTCAATTGAGCTCAGTCTAAGGCCATCACAAAGAGGAATCATTGCTCTTTCAATTGAAAAATAAAATTATTTCATCTCATGAACAATTCACCACGTCATGAATATTAAAAAAAAAACAGAAGTGATTCTGATAGTTTCAGCTTCATTTCAGACGAGTCGTTCGTCATTATTTTTTAGGATAAAAAATTTATTGAGGATGAGGTTCACTTTTTTGGAGCACATTTTTAGTGGCGAGGATGAGATAATGTGGAGTTTATAAAATCAGGGATGCCTCTTGAATTAATGACACGATTTTCATGAATCAGAACTCATTTTATAGACTGAAAAAATATCTTGAAAATGAGAGAAGGTTTTCTCAATTTCACTCTGCCAATGTTGAGTTATTCACGGTTGATGATGATGATTTATTTACGTCTATAATTTCAGTGGAATTGTTGATAATGAGGAGAGAAAGAATTCTTATTTTAATTTCTTAGGTGATTAATTAGTTAATTCATTAATTCTTTGGGGATAACTGATATTATTTACATGTTTACAAAGAATATCGAGATTTATATCGTTTGAAACTACGTTTTTGGCTTGAGGATTATGCGATTATTTATAGGAGATGAGGCAAAATGAGACTTATGAAATTAGCGATATCTCCTGAACCAATGGCACAATTTTAATAAGTCAGAACTCATTTTAAAGTCTGAAACAATATCTTGAAAATGAGAGAAGATTTTTTCAATTTCACTCCGCCAATCTTGAGTTATTCACGTTTGATGATGGCTCATCATCGATAATTTCAATGGAATTATTGATAATGAGGAGAGAAAGAATTTTTATTTTCATTTCTCAGGTGATTAATTAGTTAATTCATTAATTCTTTGGGGACAACTGATATTATTTACATGTTTACAAACAATATCGAGATTTATATCGTTTGAAACTACGTTTTTGGCATGAGGATTATGCGATTATTTATAGGAGAAGATGAGCCAAAATGAGACTTATGAAATTGGCGATATCTCTTGAACCAATGGCACAATTTTAATAAGTCAGAACTCATTTTAAAGACTGAAAAAATATCTTGAAAATGAGAGAAGATTTTTTCAATTTCACTCCGCCAATCTTGAGTTATTCACGTTTGATGATGGCTCATCATCGATAATTTCAATGGAATTATTGATAATGAGGAGAGAAAGAATTTTTATTTTCATTTCTCAGGTGATTAATTAGTTAATTCATTAATTCTTTGGGGACAACTGATATTATTTACATGTTTACAAACAATATCGAGATTTATATCGTTTGAAACTACGTTTTTGGCATGAGGATTATGCGATTATTTATAGGAGAAGATGAGCCAAAATGAGACTTATGAAATTGGCGATATCTCTTGAACCAATGGCACAATTTTAATAAGTCAGAACTCATTTTAAAGACTGAAAAAATATCTTGAAAATGAGAGAAGATTTTTTCAATTTCACTCCGCCAATCTTGAGTTATTCACGTTTGATGATGGCTCATCATCGATAATTTCAATGGAATTATTGATAATGAGGAGAGAAAGAATTTTTATTTTCATTTCTCAGGTGATTAATTAGTTAATTCATTAATTCTTTGGGGACAACTGATATTATTTACATGTTTACAATCAATATCGAGATTTATATCGTTGGAAACTACGTTTTTGGCATGAGGATTATGCGATTATTTATAAGAGAAGATGAGCCAAAATGAGACTTATGAAATTGGCGATATCTCTTGAACTAATGGCACAATTTTAATAAGTCAGAACTCATTTTAAAGATTGAAAAAATATCTTGAAAATGAGAGAAGAATTTTTATTTTCATTTCTTAGGTGATTAATTCATTAGATGAATTCTCTGAGAACAACTACGAGGTGATTCACACGTATATAAATAATATCAACATTGAAATCCTTTCTTCTGAGATATTCCAGCGATTTTTTTTCTTTTTCCCTGCCACTAGGGAAATCAATTCTAATTTCACGAAAAAAATTGTGACCTAAAGAATTTTTTTGAGCCCGAGTCCGAGGAATTCGTGATAAAATTAGTTTTCTTTAAAATTTTAAACTCAAAATCCTCGTCTTCAATTTTTATTTCGTTTCTGCAGCCGAAAAAATCTCTGATTCGTTCTGAAAAAAGTTTTTTTTTCCGATTTCTTCCCCTTTGACCTCAAAATCTCCGCTTCCTGTGAGTGAATCAATATTTATATAAGCCCCGAAGACCTATCCACTGCTGTCGTCAATATTTCTCTTGGCGATAAGAATTATTTCTGTCTCGTGAAGCCCAAACAACTCCAACGTCTCCGCATTTCCCCTAAAAAATTCATTTCAATTCTTTAGAAAAACGGTTTGTCCCAATAAAAATGGGGAAACGTCCGTGGGGGGACGAAAAGTGCCCCATAATGTACCCCATAAATCACCCCAGCCTCAGTATTTCCCCCCGAAAACTCCGAAAATACATCAAAAACGAAAAAAAATAGGATCAAACAAAAAATCGTCCTTGACTGCGTCTTTTAGCGATTCCGAGGTCTCGAGTACAGACAAATCGGCAAATCCCTGTGGTTATTTACTCACAATATGGCTAGCTCTTTAATGAGACTATTTTTAGACACCTATCCCCTCTCTTTCCCACCTTAATACGCAAATAAACAAAAACTGATGAGAAAAAAAATCCTTTTTTGTCTCTAAAATTCATTTCAAAAAGTGAATAACAAATTGAAAAATATATAAATTATTTATTAAACAATTATGAAATTTGTTTGCTAATTAATTGAATCATTCGATCATTTATTCAATTAAAACAATTAACTTTTATCGATTTTAGGGGAGAAATGAAGAGAAAGGAATGAAAAATGAAAAGAATAATGGAAAAATCACTTTTTCGTCTCTAAAATTAATTTTTTTAAATCAGTAGAGAATGAACAAATATAAAAATTTATTATTTATCATTTGTTATCTATTCTTCAACCAATTACATGAATTATACGATTATTTACTCAATTCAAATTTTTTTTTGACTGATTTTAGGAGACAAATGAAGAAAAGGGAATGAAAAAATCTTAAAATTTATTATTCATTATTTATTTTCTATTCTTTAGTCGATTACATGAATTATGCGATTATTTACTCAATTAAAACAATTTTTTTGACCGATTTTAGGAGAGAAATGAAGAAAACGGAATGAAAAAACGAAAAAATCACTTTTTCGTCTTTAAAATTTCATTTTTTAAATTGAGTAATAAGTGAAAAAATGTAAAAATTTATTGTTAATTTATTATTATCTATTCTTTAATCAATTACATGAATTAGTCGATCATTTATTGAATGGGAAGAATTTATTTCATTGATTCTAGAAGAGAAATTAATTTTAAAAACTGAGATAAAGAAAGTTTTCGAGATTTTATTTCTTCCTTCACACGAGAATATTTCTCGAATAATAATTTATTGTTTTTTTGTAGGTATATTATCGGACATACAAACAGAATTTCACTTAGGTAACGATCAGTCTGGCCTCCTGCAGACAGCGTTTATCATCAGTTACATGATATTCGCCCCCTTGTTCGGATACTTGGGGGACAGATACAATAGAAAAATCATCATGAGCGCTGGTGTATTCCTGTGGTGTCTGACAACCCTAATTGGATCTTATATGAAGGTAAAAATGGTCGTAAATCGTTGTGAAATGATGCCGGAGATTTTATTCAATTGTCCAATGGAGAATTGTTGGGGATGATATTTACTGAGAAAAGGTTTTTCAGGGGGGACTGGCTGTTTTTGGGAATTTATGGGCCTTGGGAATATTGATAAACGTTTGTATAAAATCACAATATAATAAATCTCATTTTTTTATGTATTCTCAGTTTTTTTACGAAAAATTGAAAATTATTTGCCGCAAAATGATTCTTTTTCTTCTACTTTTTTTCTATAAACGCGTTGACTTAGCCTCCCCAGGTTTCTTAGTTTCCAGACATTTTTGATTTACTGGAATAAAATACAATTTTTTTGTCGTTTTTTAAATCGTGAAAAACGATTCCTTGCATGCAATGCGTGGCTTCCCCACTCAAATTATAATCAACGAACATTGAAACATTGGATAACATTTATCACTGATGATGATTCGGATTTAATTGTGCATTTTGCGTACGTCGCATTTGCTGTGCCAGTGAATAACATTGAATTTTTATTTTTAAACAATCAGCATCATTGAGATTAGTATTCGTTGTCAAAAGAATAAAAAAAAGGATGATTTATTGACATTCTTCCCCAAAACCGCTTCTATCACAGCCAAACGAATAATTAACAAAAATTACAAAAAGATGTCGAAGTAAACTCTTGAAAAAATTATTAAAAATGTAATTAACATCGAATAATGACCCCCGAACACTCAAACCCTCGACAAATGCAGAAAAAAAAATTATAAGAAAAATCATCTGATACTAAATGATTCTTTTTCTCTCGCAAATAATTGAAAATCCTCACAGATGACGATAAATAATTGAAAAAATTACCACATTATCTTGAGAACTTGATAACAGACTCAACAAGTAACTTCAGTCTTCCAATTTCTGTGGCACTAGCTCCAAACTTGATAAGAACTCATGCACTGTGCAAAAACATTCGTGATGATTAAATGAAAAATATCACCATAAAAATCCTCTTTAAATTTAGAAATCTGAAAATATTTCTCCAAAATTAATTTCGAAAAGTGTCAAAGAACTTCTTCATTCACTGTCTGCACATTTTGCAACGTAAAAAGCTATTTTACTGCGTGATTTACTCAACGGGGTTAATTACAATAAATAATTACGAGGGGATTAGTCACAATTCAGCAGTGAAGTGGGTTTTTCACAGTTTCTTCTGGTTAAATGTGGGATTATCTCAGTAAAGAGTGGTTTTAGGGGAAAATGTTAAAAACCATTTTTCGTTGGAGATTTAATTCTCTCCAAAAAAGGTTCTGAGACATTTTCCCCTAAAACCACTCGTCACCGAGATAATTGCAAAATTAACAAAAGTGGAAATTTTTTATTGTTGATGATGAGATTCTTTACATTTCCTGAAATATCTCGAGAAGGAGTGCTTCTAGCGACAAATGTCATAAAACCTTTTTTGTAGACAATTAAATTTCCAACAAAAAATGTCCTTTGACATTTTTTATTGAAACAAGTCGTTCACGAGATAGACAACAAAATCAAAGACTCTTAACTTCTACCCATTAAACAGTATGAAACACTTGTTTTCTTCTCTCTTTCCAGACCTACGAATGGTTCCTGATCTTTCGGATGTGCGTGGGAATTGGTGAGGCGAGTTATTCGACGATCGCCCCCACGATAATCAGCGATTTATTCGTAAAAGACACACGATCGAAGATGTTGGCACTTTTTTACTTCGCAATCCCCGTGGGGAGTGGCCTCGGTTACATAATTGGGGGTCAAGTGGCTGTTGCCACTGGCCAGTGGCAGTGGGGCCTCAGGATCACCCCAGCCCTTGGTCTCATCGCCATCGCCCTTATCCTCCTCTTCGTGAGGGATCCAGTGAGAGGGGAGAGGGAGGGAGGCTCGCACATTGCAAGCACCACTTGGGGAAACGACATTCGTGCCCTCATTAAAAAGTAAATTGCAATTTTGAAATTATTTCATCAATCTTTCTCACAAAATTAAACTTTCTAATTTTTTTCAGATTTTTAAATGTTTTCTAACGGTTCAATATCGAAATTCAAATTCAGACTTGTAAATTTTCAATAATAAAATCCAGAAAATAAAATGGGGCTCACATGAAAGCTCTGATGTTCAACTCTCTGAAATGAAATTTTCGATTTTGGGGAAAAAATTAAAGTCTAGAAAAAATTGTCAAATTTTTGCAATAAATAATTTGTTTCTGCGGGCTCAAAATGACGTGTTATGTCGAAACCCTAGTCAAACGAGAGACTATTCTTCAAAACAATAATTGAAGACAGAATTTGATGAATCGATTTCTTGCTCTCATCAAAGTTAGAATTCACGGAAAAAATTATCAATGATGATGAATAATTGTTCTTTGGCTTTTTGTACATATTTTTTCTCGTTACAGTCAACGACTCAGCGAGTTTATTCATACTACTTTAAACTTCCAAAGATGACGAATCAAAATGACTGGAAATTTCTCCAATTGTTTTTGATCTATTTTTTTTTGTTTTTTTTTGCTTTCAGTCCAAGTTTCATGCTCTCAACAGCTGGATTCACCTGCGTGGCATTTGTCGCCGGAGCTCTGGCCCTCTGGGCCCCCAAGTTTCTCGAGCTGGGGCTCAAGTTGCAGAAGGAGAAGACACTGGTTGTCGATGAGTGAGTGTTTAATGAATAAACATCTCCTCCCAGAAATCCCCTGGAACTAATAATTTATTTTGACTTTTTTCAGTATTTCTTTTGTGTTCGGGGGCATCGCGATGCTGGCGGGTCTCATCGGGGTCCCCGTGGGGTCCATCATGGCCCAGAGGATGAGGATCAGGTGGCACCAGGCTGATCCCCTCATCTGTGGCATTGGACTCCTCGTCAGTGCCCCCATGATTTTCTTCGCCATCGTAACTTCCAGTGGAAATTCCATCGTTTGTTTCGTGTTGATTTTCTTGGGGCAGCTGGCGTTGAATCTCAACTGGTCGATTGTTGCTGATATGCTGCTGGTAATTATCGAGACGATCATCATGATTTTTTTACTACAACTAGATTAGACCGCGCGCGTATTCTCTACCTTACGTGCCTCAGAAATTCGCAGAACCGAGATATAGACGTTTTCGATGGATTTCCAATAATATTAAAAGTTAATATGATTGTGGTAGAGATTATGTTGAAGTCCATTAGGTTCTTCCAAAGTATATTCACTCCATAAGAATCATTGGTACTTGGATTATCCACGTTCACACACGAATCGAGTGAAAAAACTCAGTTGCGATTTTGAGATAAGAAATTTTGAAGACAGAAAATTTACCAACTTTCGAAGAACAAACGGGGTTTTTCGCTTTTTCAATTAACAAGGGAATGAGCATCAGGTATACATTATCATTTTCAATTCAAATTCGAAATCATTTGTGATGAAGTGGCAATATTAAACTTCGGTCGAACAGGGATTTTATTTATTATGAAAAATCCAAATATTCTCTGCAGCTAAAAAACCAAAACAAAATCATCATGAATTGTGGCACAATTGTGAATTATTTGTTTTTTAAAAAAGTGTTGAAAATTTGCAATTTAGAATACCGAACTTTAATTTATATGAAATATAATATAATATTTATACTATATATATTACAGTATTTATGTTATTTACTTTAATTTAATTTTATGAGTAATCTATATTTTATGTTGTTTATTATAACAAAATTCTTAAAAAGAAAGCCATTATTTTTTTTTTAAACTTTATAATTATATTATAACTGTACTATATTATATATAATACATTACAATATATTATATGATAGTATAATGCTAAAGAAAGAACACGTTAGGCGGCATGGATTGGCTTCAAAAAACGTTACATTGGATTTTTTATTGAAGGGATTAATTTTTTGTTAAAGGAATATTTAAAGCGATTTTTCATTCGTTATTCGTTTTATTTTCTAGTATGTCGTCATTCCCACGCGAAGATCTACTGCCGAGGCATTTCAGATCCTAGTGGCACATGCTCTGGGTGACGCTGGGAGTCCCTATCTCATAGGAGTGGTATGAAATATTTTTACTCTCAAATGCACGGAGAGAAAATATTAGCACTGACGAAAAACTTGATGTTCCACGTGAGAATATTTGATGGAGTGGAACTGATTTACTGGAGGAAAATTATCCAACTTGGTGGAGGGAAATTTAATAGCTTGGAGTTAATTAATTGATTGATTAATTACAGGAGAAGATTGAACAAATCGAGTTTTTATCAATTAATTCAGTAGCGAAGTGGTAAAACGGTAAAAGTCAATTGTGACTATTGACCAGTTTTCAATGAATATCTCGGAATCTAAGGGAGATAGCGAAATTTTTGTTATGACCTTTTTTGTAGAGCCGATTGAGAGCTACAAACAATCTACTTACGAAAATCTCGCTATCTGCCTTAGATTCGGAAATATTCATCGAAAACTCAACAGACTTGGACCGTTCTACCAATTCGCTACTGAATTTACATAATTAGAGCCATGAAAATTATTAAAATTTGATTAATGCTCGATAATTGATTATTTTAGATGTCTGAAGGGCTGAGGCCCTATCTCCTTGCCCCAGGAGAGCCAACGAACGATTACGTAGATTTCAAATGCCTTCAGTATTCGTTATTTCTGACGATTTTCGTCGAGGTACTTGGTGCTCTCTTTTTCTTCCTCACGGCGCTTCACATAGAGAAGGATAAGGCATTGGTGGACCTCACGATCGCTGGTGAGTGGAAAAACATCTCAAGTCCTTAGAAAATTCTACACTGAAGTGGAAAAAATGGGGTTTTGAGTGAAAACGCCCCTCCTAAATACTTCATTATCTTCGGAACTAGTTGTTGTAATGAAAAACGTTGAATTATCTCGTCAACGAGTGGTTCTAACAAAAAATGTCTCAGAACCTTTTTTGGAGAGAATTAAATCTCAAACGAAAAATGTCTTCTGACATTTTCCCGTAAAACCACTCTTTACCGAGATAATCCCACATTTAACCAGACGAAAATATGAAAAATCCACTTCACTGCTGAATTGTGACTAATCCCCTCGTAATTATTTACTGTAATTAATCCCGTTGGGTAAATCACACAGTAAAATAGCTTTTTACGTTGCAAAATGTACAGACAGAATGAAAAAGTTCTTTGACACTTTTCGAAATTAATTTTGGAGAAATATTTTCAGATTTCTAAATTTGAAGAGGATTTTTATGGTGATATTTTTCATTTAATGATCACGAATGTTTTTGCACAGTGCATGAGTTCTTATCAAGTTTGGAGCTAGTGCCACAGAAATTGGAAGACTGAAGTTACTTGTTGAGTCTGTTATCAAGTTCTCAAGATAATGTGGTAACTTTTTCAATTATTTATCGTCATCTGTGAGGATTTTCAATCATTTGGGGGAGAAAAAAAATCATTTTGTGTCAGATGATTTTTTTTTCCAATTTTTTTTCTGCACTTGTCGAGGGTTGGAGTGTTCGGGGATCATTGTGCGATATTAATTACATTTTTAATAATTTTTTCAAGAGTTTACTTCGACATCTTTTTGTAATTTTTGTTAATTATTCGTTTAGCTGTGATGGAAGGGATTTTAGAGAAGAATGTCAATAAATCATCCTTTTTTTTATTCTTGTGACAACAAATAGTAATCTCAATGATGCTGATTGTTTAAAAATAAAAATCCAATGTTATTCACTGGCACAGCAAATGCGACGTACGCAAAATGCACAATTAAATCCGAATCATCATCAGTGATAAATGTTATCCAATGTTTCAATGTTCGTTGATTATAATTTGAGTGGGGAAGCCACGGATTGCATGCAAGGAATCGTTTCTCATGATTTAAAAAACGACAAAAAAATGGTATTTTATTCCAGCAAATCAAAAATGTCTAGAAACTAAGAAAATTGGGGAGGCTGAGTCAACGCGTTTATAGAAAAAATAATGTCAAGAGTGGGGGCCTCACAACAATAGTATTGTCTGATGCTGTATTTATGGTATTTTTTTCATTTACAATTAATTTATTTTCCTCAGTTTCACCTTCCCCATTATTCATTTAGAAAAATTTGGTTTTTTAGTTTTTAGGAGATTCTGGTGATTACTCTAAACGATTTTTCGGGGATGTCTGGGGGACGACGATGGGGTAGTGGGGTGGCAAATAGTCTTGTTGGATAGCTGGGGAAATTTCCGCTGGAAAAGTCAGCATGACGACTCTTTTATCTCATCAAGTTTTCGAGATAACGAGGAAAAACGTTTTTCACATTGGAAACTCGGTTTTTGTTGTATCTCCTCAGGTAATGCCGTTGAATGTGTCACCGTGCTGAGTTTTCCAGCGGCAATTTCCCTGGATTTCTAATGAGACTATTTTCAATTTTCTAGCTCTTCAGGCTCTCGAGATATCCACGAATAATCAAGTTTTAATGAAATTTTCTGGTGAATTTCATCGTTAACTCGAGTTTTTTTTGCATGATTAAATTTTTATTGACACTGGAATCTTCGAAATAATCATTGACTCATCATTATTTATCTCTGCCAAGTGTCACACCCCCTTAGCTTTGCACACACGCTTCTAATTACGCTGATTAAATCACTGAATAGTTGAGAATATTTTATTAACCCTTGAATTACGATTTAGAATTGGATTTTTTAGAATTGCTTGAATTAGTTTCTAGTATCTGCATGAGAGAAATTATTTGAAAATGCTTTGAATCATCTAGGAATGAGTAAATTCATTAAAACAATTATTTAATTAATTATAATGAATTTCTTTCTGTTTTAGTTGTTGAAATTTGTTTTTGTGCTCCAGAGGAAATCAAGGACTCAAAATCTTCTGTTTCTTTTATAGAATTATCATTTTTTACGGGATCATCAATTAATTTATTAATTTGATTGATTAGAAATTAAACATTCATTATCATTTTTTAAATCAAAGCTCGATTGATTGATCAAATTAATCAATTAATTAATATTATAAATTGGTTGTGGACCTTTGCAGAGGAATGAGTGATACATTTAATGAAAAACTGATTAATTAATCAAATGTTTAATTTATCAAATTGTTTCAGACACAACTGCAGTTGACACTTCTCTCATCAGACCCGAGGACGCTAACAGATAGCTATAATGACGCACTCCAGTGCAGCAAGCAATTAACAACAGACTGATGAATTAATTTTTTAATGCGTCTCCACTTTTTTTCCAATTTTTTCGTCTTGAATTTTGCGTTTTTTCGTACTTTTTAGCTGAAAGTTTAGGGAAATCATAACTTAGAATTAAGTCGATTAACGTTTTTTGCGATATCTCGAGAACCGGAAGTGGTGGACAATCGAGGATAGACTCGTTGGAAAGCCAGGAAAATTTCCGGTTCCAACTTCTGGTCATGAACCCATTTTACCCCACTCGCTCGGTGAATATTTCAAAAACTAAAATGTAAGAGTGTAATCGTTTTTTGGAGATTACGGAGAAACCCCTGGGGCAAAACGGGTTCATGACCGGTGGATGGAATCGAAAATTTTCCGGGCCATCGATTGAGTCCAGACTCATCTCTGCAGCACTTCCGGTTCTTGAGATATCGTCGAAAGAAATAATTTTTTTGAAAATCAAAATTTTTTATTAATAGAACTTTGTTTACTATTTAAAAAATAGTTTTCCGATTAAGAAATGGTTATTCTAATAAACACCCGTGCTAGGCTGTGCAATGGTATCCATTTAAAGTAATTAATTATCATTATCAGTCGAATATAATTGTTAAAAATTGCTCAATCGTTTGAACTTATTTCAGATGTTTTTAACAAAAAAAAAGCAAAATTGAAAGAAAAAAGAAATTGTAGGGTATTGCTACTATTCAAATTATATTTTTTATAATGATGCTAATTAATTGTTATCCAAACTGCATAATAATAATTATAGAAACTTTTTTGTACATTTTTTCCGCCAATTTTTTCCAATTTTTTTCTTCGCTTTTTAGGGGAAAAATTGGAAGACAATTTTTGAGGGTCTTTCTTTTGGAAATAAATAAGTAATGGTTATGATTTGTTTTTTATTATATTTTATAACAAATATAAGTAACTTTATTTCTTCTTTTTACATTCTTGGTACTAACGTGTAAATCCTTGGGATAGGTCAACAATTTTTTTTTTCATTCAACAAAAATGGGTTTTTATACAATAGAGTTCATTGGCATTTCTATCGTTTTACGGTGCCAGATTCGTATAAAAATATTTTTTAGATTTTTTTTTTACGTTTTTGATGGAGTAGTGATTTTTCTAGTTATGCTGGAGTTTTTCATCAAAATTGTGGAATTTTGGTTTTTCTTGAAAAGTTTTCAAAAAAGAAAATTAAAGAAGAAAATTCAACGACAATTGAATTCCTCAATTTTTGAGAGATAGAATTTAACAAATAATTAAATTTTCCAAATCTTGGAAACGAAAATTAAACGAGAAATTCAATTTCTGAGATAAAAAAAAAAAAATTTAATGTTTCAATTCTACACAATTAGCACTGAACTAAAATGAAAATTTCTAATTTTCAATTTTTAAAATTTTTTGTAAAAAACTCAACTCCTAAATTTAAATTAATTAATTAATTCCCTAAAGAATTGAATTTCCACCATTTTGAAATCGAAAAATGACATAAAAAATAAAAAAATTTATTTCTCATTCCAAAAAAATAAAGAATTAAAATTGTTAAAAACCTATTAATTTCCACATTTCGACGAAAATCCATTTGTACCCATGAAAAACCTCGAATTCGCAAAAAACCGAGAGTAATTAACAATTAGTCTAAACAATATTAAAATGAGATGAGACAAAAATTGCACTTTAGGTATTGAAAAAACTTGTGTTATCTTTGTGCTTGCTCTACCGAGATGTCCATCATTTTGGTAGTGTCACTGCATTGATTTGCGTCGCTCAGTGTGATTGACAGCAGCCAGTGCTTCCTCGGGAAGGCGTCCAGGGTCTGAGAGGATCTCTGTCGCAGTGCAGAGGTACCTCAGTGAGTTCAAGACAGCTGGAACAAAAATTCATGACAAAATCGTTTTCCGTAGAGGATTAAATATTTTTTAATGACGAAAAAGTTGAGTTGAGGGGTCGAAAAAGACCCCATGAGAAATATATACATTTATATGCACATATATAAAAAAAAATACTTCGACTAGGGAGCTACCCATATAATCCCTATGATCCTTATCTGACCCTCGTGACCCTTATTTTGACCCTTCATTTTTTAACTTTAATTTTGGAGTCTTAATTTAGAGTACCAAATTTTGATCACCAGAAGTCGATTTGGATTTTTATAATATAGAGAGATAAAGAGACCCTTGTGACCCTTATTTTGCCCCTGGTGACTCCTAGTTTCTGAGCCTTGGGTTTTGACCCCCCTGAGAGCTTTATTTAAAATCTTACTTTGACCCTTGTCACCCTTAATCTGACCCTTGTGACCTTTATTCTGACCCTGATGCCCCTTATTTTGACCCTCGTGAGCCTTATTCTGACCCTCGTAGCTCTTAATTTTGGAGTCTTAATTTCAGTAAAAAATTTTCATCAGAAGTCGATTTGAATTTTTATAATATCAAGTATCTTCTACAGTTGTAACACACCACATTATAGATTCAACTATTTTCAATCATCAAATTTGTCAATTAAATTCCGTGAGAAAATTTGGAAAACAAATCATGAATATTTACGGTCAAATGTGGCTTAAATAACAGCTCCGATTTTCGACTAAAATAGTAGGAAAGATTCGCCTAGTCTTGATAAATAAATTGGTAACTAGCAATTGGACTTCATTGACTTGATGGAGAAAAAAAAAATTGACTGAAAAAATATGCGCAAATGTCAGTTGACTCACCTGGTCTGAGATCAACTAGTGAGCAGTGCTGCTCAACCCAGAGTATTGTACTCCTGCAGAGGTCCTCGACACTCGCAGTGGAAACCGAGGTGTTGAACGACACCATCAGGGGCTCCAGCAAAATACTGAAAATCCAGAATTTCCAGTTTTCACGAGTGCGCTTCCTCACGTACTCATCGAACATCTCCTTCATCTTGTTGGTGCGCTGTCGCGACACTGGGGCACCAGTGGCTGGTAACATTGACTGACAGTTGCTGAAGATCAAAAACATCATCAAAATTTTCCAACAATTTTCACAAACTATGGGTGACATCAAGTGGGTGACAAAAAGTTTAAAAATGTAATTGCTGTCACCAGTGATAGGCATATCAACCAATTATAATTAAATTGTGAAGCTGTCAATGTTTAACATAAATCTTAAAATTTTAAATATTAAGGCACGGGTGTACTATCTTTCGAACGTTATCTCGATGTTTTTTTTTCATCTTTCGTCATCTGAAATTGTCAATTGAGTCCTGCATCATGCAGAAGTTTTGAAAAATTATGAATGAATAATAAAAAAAAAGTAGAAAAAATTCTTAATTTTTTCAAAGAGCATTTTTAATTTATATTCAGAATAAGTTGAATAACAAGAAATTGAAAAATGTATCTGATTTACGGTGACAAGTGGCGGCCTGTCACCCAATATCATGCAGGGGGAAGACTGATTTCGTAAAACTTTTCCCACACTGCACAGAGACATTTATTACGGAAAAGACTCTTTGAAAAAAGTTGTAATATTTTGGAGAATTTTTTAATCACACTTTTATCACATAAAAATGGCAGATGACTACATACCACTGTTTTGAAAATTGAGATACCTAGCTGTCACTTCCCATGAGGAGTTAGTGTTTTGTTATCCACCATGGAAAATGACAGCTAATAGATAATTTGCCACAGCGAATCAGATATTTGTAATTTCCACTTTTTTCAAATCATTCTGAATCTCAATAAAAAAAATTTTTGTTATCATTCTATCATAATTTTTGGGAATTTCTACATGATGTACCA